TTCCTAAACGTTTTATAGTTTTCTGTTTTACATTAAATTTATTATCCATTTTGAGCTGATTTTTGTACAAACTGTGAAACCTTGGTCAAGGTTTTTTGTTTTTGTTTTTTGCTATACGTGTTTCTCCAGAACCATTTGTTGAAAAGCCTATTTGCGTTGAGTCCACATGTTCATTGCTAATTTATAGAAATACAGCTGATTTTTGAATGTTTATCTTTATCTTGAACCTTGTATAACTCACTTACTTGGCATTAAGATCTTTTATGTAGAATTCTTTTAACTTCATCAACTTCTGCTTCTGCCTTTATTGTTTCCTTCCTTTTGCTTACTTTGGGTTTACTTTGTTCCTCTATTTCTGGGTTTCTGAGATGGAAGCTTAGATTTGAGTCTCTTCCCTTTCTTTGAATGTAAGTATTTAGTGCTGTAATTTCCCTCTTGGCACTTTATCTGTGTTCCACAAATTTTGATAAATTGTATTTTTATTCAGTTCAATTTAGTTTTCCTCTTAAGGTCTCCTCTGAGACCTATGGATTATTTAGAAGTGTGGTGTTTAGTTTAGAGATAGTCCTTGCAACTTTCAGCTATTGATTTCTAGCTCAATTCTACTGTGGGTGAAGAACAATCTCTGTATAATTCCAATTTTTAAAAATTTGTTGAGGTTTGTTTTATAGTCTTATTATATTTTCTGCGGGTTCCTGAAAAATATGTGTATTCTTCTATTATGTGAAGTGTTCTATAAATGTCAAGTAGATTCTGTTGGTTGACAGTATGGTTGAGCTCTTCTATACCCTTGGTGGTTTTCTGCCTAGATGTTCTATCAGTTATTGAGAGATGCTGTAGCCTTCACCTATAATTATAGATTATTTTTTTAAGATTTTATTTATTTATTTGAGAGAGAGAGAATGAGAGAGAGCACGTGCGAGGGGGGAGGGTCAGAGGGAGAAGCAGACTCCCTGCCGAGCTGGGAGCCCAATGCGGGACTCGATCCAGGGACTCCAGGATCATGACCTGAGCCGAAGGCAGTCGCTTAACCAACTGAGCCACCCAGGTGCCCTATAATTGTAGATTTGTTCTCATTTCAGTTCTGTCAGTTTTTTTTTTTTTAAGTTTTTTTTTAATTTATTCATTCGAGATACAGAGATACAGAGAGAGAGAATATGAGCAGGGGGAGAAGCAGAGGGGAGGGGAGAAGCAGGCCCCCTGCTGAGCAGGGAGCCCCCATGCGGGGCTCCATCCCAGGACCCTGGGATCATGACCTGAGCCGAAGGCAGACGCTTAACCATCTGAGCCACCCAGGTGCCCCCAGTTCTATCAGTTTTTGCTTTGCATATTTTCAGCTGTGTCGTTTGGTGTACACATGTTTAGAATTGTTATATCTTCTTGGTAGATTGACATTTCTTGGTAGATTGACACTCTCTCTTTGTAATTTTCTTTACTCTGAAGTCCACTTTCCCTGATAATGATATAGCTGCTCCTGCTTTCTTTTGAATAATGTTTGAGGCATATATTTTTCCATCTTCTTACTTTTAATCTTTTGAGCAAAGGAACCCCAAATTTCTTAACCGTAGCTTTGGCCATAGCGAATTCTTTTGAAAATATTTCAGGAGTGGTGGTAGTTAAAATTTCACTTTGGATTATAATGTTTGGGTTCCTAGGAGTATTTTACCTAGAACAAATTCAATAAAGAAGAAAATATTTTCACGAGTGGGAAGGAAAAGGTACAGAGAATTTGAATTTTTGACTTGGGTATATTAAAGAAAAGGCAACTTTAAATGATTACATAAAAACATGTATAAACACCCAACAGATACAAAGTCACCCACTGATGTGAGTTGGTGACCAAATATAAGGGGAATATTTTTAAACCTTATTTATCTTTTTTATTAAGAACTTGGTTAATATTTTTGTTTGAAATGCTCTTACATGGCAAATGACCCATGTAGGAGAATTCTGAAAATGATACATACAAGATGTGATCATTGGTATCTACTGTTGGAACTCTCCATTCACAGATACTCACAAACTCAATACTCTTGTATTGTTGTCACGTAGTTACAGACTTTATTTTCCTAGGCTTTCACAAAATAAAATAAGTATGTGATGAAGAGAGGCTCAGCATTCCTACTCTGTTCTGGATAAACTTAATTAACTCCATTCCCTTATCATTCAAGGCCAAAATGCTGAGAGTTCTTGCTCTTGGGCATCTTTTGTCCTCTGGCAACATCTCTTCGTTCTACTCTCCGGCACAGCACAGCACATGCTGTTCTGGCACACTAACTCTAACAGAGGAAATTTTAAGTGTAAACAACATGTATTTGCATATTTGAGATAGAATACTAATATGTTTTTACATTGTAACATTCTATTTCTGGGAACATGGTTAAAGCAGGAATTTTTTCTAGCATTTTCTTGACATGATTCCTCTTACCTTCCTCCTTATTAAAAAAGAAAACATTAGATTATCCTTCCTCCAACTGGACTGATTCTTAGGCTTATGATTCTTCAGGATTAGAATACCTAATACTTGAACACAGAGCTCACTCCAGGTCAGACACTGTATTAACCACACTACATGCACTATCTCTTTAATTTTTATGATGTCCTTATAAGAATATTACCCCAATATAAAATTGAGATAATAATAAAAAGACAAGAAAACGGATTTCAAAGAAGTTGAAAGATAACTTGCCTGCATTCACACAGCTACTAAGTTCTTGAGCCTGCACTGGAATCTGTGCTTGCCTGAAGAGCTACACTAATCCTATATTATACTATCAATTCCAGAACTAGCTATTACTGTAACTTATTAGTCTTTGAGGAAAAATAGGTCTTTGTGTTTTGGCCACCATGTAAGTACTATATGCCTAACTTAGCTCAGTTGCCAGGCATCTTGTGTTTTCTGTAGCTTCTCTCTCCTCTTTTTCTCTGCTTCTAGACCCTGCTCAAAATTTGTTTCTCTGTTCTTAATGTTAATTAGAGGACTCAAACATTCTGTTTTCTCTTCCTCTTTTCTTCTAAATATCTTCCCTCTACAATTTTTAAGATTCCCATACAGCTTTCATATGCTCATATGAGAAACTCACGGTATAAATGCACATGTTAAAAGACAATTGCCATTTTAAAGGCAATTTTATTTATTGCTTTTCTTGCTATTTATAGCTTTCCTTAAATAGTTCTTAGACTTAAGAACCTTCCATTTATATACTTACATATATTTTTAGGGTTTCCATACCAGGACCCAAGATACCTACCCATCACTATAGAGTGGGGAGATATTCTGAATATTAAATAAATGTTATATTCTTCCTACTTAATGATGTCAATATTAAATATTTATCAAATAACTATTTAATTGAGTGTCTATATGTCAGATACCACCCTAGACACTACCTTTTACCCTTCCACTCAAACTTTTTTAGGTAAAAGAACACTTTTTAATATTAAAAATAAGTTTTATCAATATAATATACAAATTCATTTTAGAAAAATAAAAAAATACAAACAAAAAAATAGGAAATAAACACCAGCAACACTTTTAATACTTTTATGAATATCCTTCCAAATTTTATCTATATGTTTGAACTGTTAAAATTTTTTTCAATTAAGACTATGTAATAAACATTCTTCTACATTAATGGTTGTTAAAAGGTTAAGAATAGTTCGTTTTGTCGGTGTACAATAGTTTTAAAATCACAGTTCAATGTTGGATTCAGCCTATTGGTAGCTTTCTGAATTACAATGCAAAGACTATGTTGAATGTCATTGCAGGTATTTTTCTAATGTATCCTTAGGCAGTTTCTTATAGTCTCAGAAATAGCATTTCTAATGGGCTGGTGGACGTTTTCCAGATCTCAAAGAATTATCGTTTGATTAGTTAAGTTTGCAGTCTATACATTCTAAGGAGATCCTTTGTGTATGAAGTTCAGCATAATTAACCAGTTAGCTCAAACCTTAACTCTTGAAAAGCGTGTCTTCTTTATTCAATAAACACTGATAGAATTCTTGACATGGGATGCAAAGATGAATAAGAGCTTGTGCAGTGCAGATAACACCTCACTGTAATACGCTGATTTGTTATCAAATAGAATACAATGGGCTTAAATTCTGCAGTAGACGGATGCACATGACCCTGAGGCTGTGTTGAAGCCTAAGGCGGTGTACAAAACAGCGATTACTTGCAACATTTCTTACCGAGAAAAGAATGTACTTTTTTTTTTTAAGATTTTTTTTTTTTTATTTACTTGAGAGAGAGAATGAGAGAGAGCGAGAGACCACGTGAGAGGGGGAAGGGTCAGAGGGAGAAGCAGGCTTCCCGCCGAGCAGGGAGCCCGATGCGGGACTCGATCCCGGGACTCCAGGATCATGACCTGAGCCGAAGGCAGTCGCTTAACCGACTGAGCCACCCAGGCGCCCGAAAAGGATGTACTTTTTATTTAATATTTGGTGGTTGAGGAAAAGATACAACCCACCGCCTCTCTTCCTTGATTACTCAGGTTTCTGTCACATGGACGCGTACAGTTTGCTTACTTTTAGCATGTAAATCTGGAGGAAATAGTCTAACTTTGTATCGAAGTAGAAGAAATTTAGAAATGACTGGTATAGCTAACATGAGAAGAACAAAAATCACACTAACGGAAACTTGTCCTGACACGACAAAAAAGACGTCACTTGGGATAACCATAACGTCAACACTATGGCGTCACGCCTACAAGTGGAGGCGGTAAAGTGTTAAGGTCAGCACAGGCCTCCATGTTTCGGGAGGCAGCGCAAAACCTGGGCGAGTTTCCAGGTGGTGGAAAGGACAGGACAGACGAGGATGGCCGTTAGGAACTGCGTTCGCGTCATGCCTAAGAGCCGACGCACAAAGCTACGTCTCCAAGCACTCCCCCGAGGCCCCGCCCACTCCTCGTCCTAGAGCCCGCTGGGGGCCCCCGAGGGGCGTGGCCAAGGGTGAGGCGAGATGAGCGCGCAAGCGCACTCAGAACCCAGTCAATTAGCCAACTATTAATCTCGCGAGGGTTGAAAGTCGGTGGCGTAGGTAGTCGTCCTGGATGCTGGCGAGATAGATGATTTCTCCCAGAGGAAGAAAAGGAGGCGGCGAAGCTAGTTCCCGGCGTCGGTCTCTCTTTCGCTTACCTTTCTCCTAACTCCAACCCTCCGCCCTCCCGTAAATCAACCCGCCTTCCCTGACCTCGGTGACCCAGGTGGCCCCGCCCACTCCCGTCGACGTGATTCCCGCCGTGAGGTAAGCGCCGGTCGAATCCTGAGCCCCGCGGAAGAGGAGGCAGACGAAAGGGGGAGGCTGGTGGGCCCGGCTCAGGCTCGTAGCGGAGCCGCAGCGCAGGGGGCCATTCGGGTGGTCGTCTAGCTCCTCCGTCAGCTCGTGGCGACGTAGCCACCCAGGCCTAGGCCTCCTCATCTCTGCCGAGCCGGGCCTCAGGCAGCAGCGGGTGACGCAGACGGAACATCATGTCGTCCGCGGCCGAGCCTCCGCCACCCCCGCCTCCCGAGAGCGCGCCTTCCAAGCCCGCAGCCTCGGCCGCCGGCAGCGTGAGCAACAGCAGCAACAAAGGCGGCCCGGAGGGCGTCGCGGCCCAGGCGGCTTCCTCTGCGGCTAGCTCCGGCCCCGCGGACTCCGAGATGGAGGTGAGGGTGGCTTGTGGCGCGGGGAAGAGGGCGCAGTGGGGAGGAGGATCTGGTTTCCTCGGCCGGATTTTAGTGATCAGACGCAGAGCCATACTCCACCCCTCCTGCATCCAAACTCGGCCTCAGACCCTTAGGATCCGAAATGATTCACACTTGCGCCCTTGTGCTTAACCTACCCACGCCGACTCCGAGGGATTTCTGGCACTTCACATTTGCATTATTTGTCTTTTTAGCGAGCCTTGCCAAATCCTCCAACGCTATTATTAAACAGATGTTATTGATTACTGAGGCCGAGAGGAACCTATCCTGTTATGTGTGTGGGTTTTTTTTTTTTTTTTTTTTTGGTAGATTCCCATAATTCCCTCACCCATCTCCTGTTGTAGCTTTTAGTTTCCACTAAACTTGCGGGAAGGAAGAGGGAGATGCCACTTGGTAGTGAGGGAAGGATGCGTGGGGTGGGGAAGGCATTTAAAAGCAGCGCATCCGAGGACTCCGGCCTCCTTTTCTTCATCCCGGTCCTTGCGGGGGCGGTATCTGTTCTGGGCAGAAACAATGGCTAGAGCTGGATGGCCGAGTGCGCAGTGGGGATAAGCGGGGCGCAGCTGCTCCTGTGAAGGGAGAGGAGGCTCCTCCCGGGCACTGTTCCTTAGGGAGGTAAGCGACCAGGGCAGCAGCAGCTGTCTTGGACTTCCATCTAATTTGGGCAGGGGGATGAATGAATGAGTGAGTGGATGAATTAGTGAGTCTGGGGCGGTTGGCTTTCAGGCCAGCGCAATTCCTCTTTTTGGGCCTTGAAGGCCTTTGTTTTTTTTGAAAATTGGTACTGTTCGCTTGCCGAGACTGCCTTCAAGGGCTGGGGTTGGCCCGGGGATGGTGACAGTGCTGCGGGGGTGGAAAGTTTGGGGAGCTGCCAGGCGGGTCTCTTGGGTGTGCGCCAGGACTTTGAGAGGTCTGGGAACAAAGTGATTGCTCCTTCCAAATTTTATTCTTGGCCTTCGATCTGTTTTGAGATATTTTATAGTCGCAGCCCAAGGATTTCTGGGATTTTTTCATCCTTAGAAGGAGTGAAGGTAATATTGCTCTAAAAAAGGATCCTTGATGCAGAATTAACACAATAAGTAAATGGAAGTGCAGTTTAACATTGAAGGGTTTGGCGCACCAAAGTTTTACTTGGGCACCAAAGGTCTAATCTAGCGTCAATTAACATTATGTTAGTAGTTTATAAAAGAATTTTTGGTGAGGGTAGGTTTTAGTGCAATGGGACATTGATATTCTGTACTTTTAAGTGATGTGATTTTTGTTTCAGGTTCTTATCTAGTGTTGCTTATTTTTCTTAAGGTTTTAAATGGTTCTTTGGATTACCAGAGCTGTTTAACTTGGATTCATGCTCCACGGTTTAAGGGGGTTTGGAAATCTGACACTGAAAGCAATTGTGTGTAAATGGACAATTCTCTGCAAAATGCTGTCCATAGTTTTCATCAGCTTCTCAAAAGGGTCTGTCATTCAAATTTTGGAATAGCAACCATTGTCTTACTGGAGACGTTATTTAAATATCAGAAAGAGTAATTTAAAGCCTAAACTGGTTTTTAAATTTAAGTGGAATTAAAGTTTAAGTGTGGATGTTGATGTGATAATGAGTACCCAATGAAGTCTGGGCCATATTTATTTGCCAGATGAAGAAATTGAGTCTTCTGATAAGTAGAATCTGTGATAGAACCCAGGTCTGGCTCTGAAACTGACCCATTTCCCACAAACCTTACCCTGTCATACACTTTTTAAGAAGGATGTTTGACAATTTTATCTCTTGAAGAGTGACTTAGTTATTTTTACCTTTTCGGTATAGGAACATGAGTAATCTTTTATCATTTTCTTCACTGACTAGTTTTAGTCTTGATGTTTTTCTCTTCATGTAATAGTTGATTAAAAAAATTTTTTTTTGAAGATTTTATTTATTTATTTGACAGAGAGAGAGAGTGAGCGAGCACAAGCAGGGGCAGCAGCACGCAGAGGGAGAGGGAGAGGGAGAAGCAGGCTGTCCGCTGAGCAGGGAGCCCAACATGGGGCTGGATCCCAGGACCCTGGGATCAAGACCTGAGCCGAAGGCAGATGCTTAGCTGACTGAGCCACCGAGGCGCCCCTAAAAAATTTTTTTAAAGTAAAAAAAAAATTTTTTTTTAAGTAAATGTACATTATCTTTTTCCTAAATGAATTGGGAAATCATTGAGGTTCACTGATAAATACTAGGTTTGGGCATATATGTGTAATATGTTTGGCAATCTTAAATGCCTTTTTCTTGTTTGAAAGTAGAATTTAAGTTGGGTATTTTTCAAAATTAGAAAATAAATGAAAGCTTGCATTCACAAATTGTTTCTGACAAGGTGGACCTTCCCAGAAATATTAGCTAGCTTTCCTATGTATTCAGTTAAATTTTCATTTTTGCTTGGTGTACTGGTAAGTCAGGGGAGTAATTTCGTTTTTTGTTTATTGTGATTTTTTTTTGGCAACGTGGATGGAACCTGTCTTTTTGTCTTTCACTGTTGATTAGACTAGTAGGTAGGTATACATATGTCAACAGAGTAGACTGATAGGCACACTGTATACCAAATAATCATGTGATCTTAGTCTTGGAGTCCAAATCCTTTTTTTTTTTTTTTTTAACTATGAAAGAAATAATGACTACTGTTGTTTATTATGGTATATTTTGACCTTTTATGATACCTAGTACCATTTGTGAAGTAGGCTAGTAAGTGGCTTTATCATTTTTATTCGAGGACACCAGAGATTTGCGATGATCTTTAGAGGTAACACAGATGCCTAAAGATCTTAGCAGTGAAGTTAGATTAGAATTTAGGTTATTTGACCTCTTAATTCTGGTACTGTACCAGCTCCAGTCCCCCAATTTTTTAATCACAGGTAACTTTATTATAGTACATACTGCCAAGCGTGGATTTGTACATTGTTGATGAAAATTATACTTTTACCTATTGTTCTTTAGTTGTTTTTTTGATGGATGAGTAGAACTTTGCAGAGTAGTTGTTGCTGTTTGTGGCATTTTGAATGTCAGGTCGAATAAATTTGCAAGAAAGGATATTTATTACTAATTTGTAGTTAAGGAGTATTCGAGTTAGGATGCATGATAAATTTTTTGTATTTTCCCAGAAGATGGGAATCAGGGTGGCTAATGATGGTAATTTCTAGGTGTGTTTGTATAGAAGTACAGTAGATAACTGCAGTTTTATGATTAAAAAGGAACATGATTTCTTCACATTATATACTATTTAATTTGGTTTCATAATAGTTATTGAATAGAAAAAGAAACCGATTTGTTGAAAGTTATTCTAGCATGATGTAGATAATAGTCTTGTGTTTTAATCTTGGCCAATAGCCATGCAGTTTACATATTTGGGTTAAATAGGTTGTTACCATCATGGCATTTAATTTCATCAAGATACCCTGTCAGGTTAGATTATAGCCATTTAAGTATCTAGCAAGTTTGGGATAGAAAGCATTACTTAGAATGTGTTTTGAGCAGAAATTAGTTTAATAATGGTGTGTTAACTGTTTTTGAAGAACAATCCATGATTTTTCCCTCCTACCAGGAAGTATTTGATGATGCATCTCCTGGAAAGCAAAAAGAAATTCAAGAACCAGATCCTACCTATGAAGAAAAAATGGTATGCTCTAGTATATGAATAGAGTCTATAATAACTTTTAATTAGGTGATTGAATGGACCAAAATTCTGCATTAAATTTTTATAACTGAGGCACAGATATCCAGTTGAAATATGTGTAACATGGGATATTATAATTTTGTTACTTGCCTATGTAAAGCAAATATAGAAATATTACACGAACACACATAATAGTATTATGTAAATATATGGGATATGTTACTTCCCTTTATTTTAAGATTTAGTGTCAGGGAGTGAGGAGAGTAAAAGAGCAGAGTAGTAGTTATTCAAGGTGTATTCTGCATCTGTCATTCTGTTGTGTACGAAGACAATAATATATGCTCCTTGCCCACAGCTTTTTTATAATATGGTGAGATCTTTACAAAAAGAGCACATGATGTTATTATACTTGAATCGTCGAGGACCCAGCTCACATTTCATACCTCAGAAAACTTTTTTAGCATGACTTAACCATAACCTACAAAGAACTTTAAACTTAAATTGAGATTCAGTAATAATAATGGCTAATAGCAAGTGCTTACTATGTACTAGGCCTTTTTCTGAGTGCTTTATGTGGATTAAACTCATTTAATTGTACTGAAATCTTAAAAAGTTAAAATAACATGTTAAATAGTAATACCACTATGCACTATAACACAGTATGCTCTCTAAGAGTAAAAACAGTGTCTTAATCTGTCTTCAACACCTAGATCAATATCTGGTACGTAATATATTTTAACAAATATTTTTTTGAAACTTACTTTCTCTTCAACCTTTGATCTTCTCTTCAAGATCAGTAAATATTTTTGAATCTCTTACATAGCTTCAAAATCCTAAAAACATATGCATTTTTTGAACACGTGTATATGTATATGCATACATAATGTGCATGATAAACAGTAGTATGTAAAATATAAATGACACTTTTTATTTTTATTTTAATTCCAGTATAATTAACATACAGTGTTATATTAGCTTCAGGTGTACAATACAGTTATTCACTAATTCTGTACATTACTTAGTGTTTAGCACTTATTTCACCCCCCCCTCTGGTAACCACTAGTTCTCTATATTTAAGAGTCTGTTTTTTTCTCTTGTTTTGTTTCTTTTTTTAATTTTTTTTTTTTTTAAGATTTTATTTTTTTATTTGACAGAGTGAGAGAGGGAACACAAGCAGGGGGAGTGGGAGAGGGAGAAGCTGGCTTCCTGCTGAGCAGGGAGCCCAACGCGGGGCTCGATCCCAGGACCCTGGGATCATGACCTGAGCCGAAGGCAGACGTTTAACGACTGAGTCACACTGGCGCCCCTCTCTTGCTTTGTTTCTTAAATTCACATATGAGTGAAGTCATATGGTATTTGTCTTTCTCTGACTGATCTCTTTCTTTCTTTTCTTTTTTTTTTTTTAAAGATTTTATTTATTTGACAGAGAGACAGTGAGAGCAGGAACACAAGCCGGGGGGGGGGGGGTGGGAGAGGGAGAAGCAGGCTTCCTGGCTAGCAGGGAACCTGATGTGGGGCTCGATCCCAGGACCTTGGGATCATGACCTGAGCTGAAGGCAGACGCTTAACGACTGAGCCACCCAGACGTCCCTGTGACTGAATTATTTCACTTAGCATTATACTTTTTAGATCATCCATGTTGTAAATGGCAAGATTTCATTAAATAACATCTAAGATTTCTATTATATTTTATATATGTGTATATCTCTAATTGTCCCATACCTTTTCTTTGCTGTCAAGCCTAAAGAAAAAGATAAATTTGCCAGCTCTACTTTTCCCATTCATTTCTTCAAACCCTTCACAATTTATGTTCTGTTGTTAACACTGTACTAGTGAATTTAATTTCCAATTTATAGCTTAATTTTACTTTCTTTTTTTTTTTTTTTAAAGATTTTATTTATTTGAGAGAGAGAGAATGAGAGACAGAGAGCATGAGAGGGAGGAGAGTCAGAGGGAGAAGCAGACTCCCCGCCGAGCAGGGAGCCCGATGCAGGACTCGATCCCGGAACTCCGGGATCATGACCTGAGCCGAAGGCAGTCGCTTAACCAACTGAGCCACCCAGGCGCCCACTTAATTTTACTTTCATTCTTCATCTCACTTGTGTCTGATACTGTCAACCACTCAAAATTTTTTTTTTTTTTTAAAGATTTTATTTATTTATTTGACAGAGAGAGACACAGTGAGAAAGGGAACACAAGCAGGGGGAGTGGGAGAGGGAGAAGCAGGCTCCCCGCAGAGCAGGGAGCCCGATGCGGGACTCGATCCCAGGACCCCGGGATCATGACCTGAGCCGAAGGCAGTCGCTTAACCGACTGAGCCACCCAGGCGCCCCACTTAAAATTTTTACTTGCCTTGAGAGACCTTTTTTTCCCCTAGATGATATCCTATTTACTTGACTATTCCTTTGTCCTCCTTCACATCCTAAACATTTCCTCTCAAACAGTTCGATCCTTATCATTGCTTTTCTTTTTCTTTCTTTCTTTTTTTAAGATTTTATTTTTAAGTAATCTATACATCCAAGGTAGGGCTCAAATTCAACCCCAAGATCAGGAGTCACATGCTCCACTGCCTGAACCAGCTAGGCAACCCTATCATTGGTTTTCTTTAAACTGAATTCTTCTCAATATTTATCTCTAGCCCAGATTCTTCCAGGCATTGTATTATGTTCATTTGTTTGTTGGACATTTAAGTCCCTTTGGTACTTCTTTCTTAGGAATATGCAAAATTGAATTTGTTTTCTCTACCTCACATATCTACTTAGTGTTATCTCAATCAATGACAGTTCCTCTTAATATATACCCAAGCTGTCCATGACGGTATTTCATAATTTAGTAGTCTTGCAAGTTTAACCTCAAAAATAGTTCCTCTTTTTTCCCCATTGCCCTATTCAGTATTCTTCTATTGCATGGGTTATTTTGTTGGCTTCTATATTTGTTTCCTTTTTAATGATCTGGCCTCTTCAAATCTCTTCATACTTTTCTTCCAAGTTTTTCAGTTTCCTAGTTATTTCCTTTTTCACCAGTCATGATCTTGATTACTTTTCTTTTAAAAAAGTTCCCCACCATCTGCTAGTTTCTAACCATAGGTAAGTCTTAGTATCTAACACTTTTCATTCTTGAACCGAGGATGCTGAATACTACTTGAGAAAACTAAATAATAGTGCTGATTGGTACCAGAATAAATTTATGGTTTTTACTGTCTTAGGCTTTCAGTATTTATTGAACAACAATCCATTTAGCTATTTAAAAACTTAACCAACTCTGGATAAACTTTTATTCCATTTCTGCCACCCTTATTTTCAGGCTTCTTCCACAAATAATTACAGGCCTTTCTTCAATTTATTTCCTCTCTGTTTCCAAATATGTATGGCCTGTACCTGCCCTGTGTCATTTCCTTCTGTCTCAGAGAAAGAAACTGGTTTTAAGCTATTGATTTTAATCTTCCATTTGATTTTATAATTTATATCCTTCAGGTTCCTAGTCTTACTCTATTGTTTCTACTTTTTAAGGATCTGTTAGTTTTCTCCCTTCTCTTTAAGATCTCAAATCACTTTTATTTTAATATTCTTATTCTCAACCAAAGTCTTTGCCTGTTTTTCCTTCAACCCTTGCCACAGTTCTACTGAAAGGTTATTTTGTAAATGTTGTTCTGAACTCCTTGGTTCTTTGCAACTAGTTTATAATCCCACTACCACTTGGATGAATGCATGGTGAGAATTTTGAAGTCATTGCCTCTTGTATAGAACTGTGGTGAAATTTATACTTAATTCCTTAAGGCAGTAGTTCAAAACTTGATCGTGTAGAAGGTCTTGGATATTTTTGTTCTGATGGGTCAAGAAGCACACTTTGAAAAATCTTAAAACATCTAGAGCCATTAAAGGTTTTTGAAAATTAGAGATGTGTGATAAGATCTAAGAATGGCGGTGGGGGGCCCCCTTCTCTGTTGAAACATCATGTCTTAGGATTTTCCTGGTCATCCCTGTTAAAATTTTAGTGCCATTCCCAGTTCCTTTTACCCTGCTTTATTTTCTGAGCATTTATCACCTTCTGACAATCTCAAATAATCCCTTAGGTTTATTTTTGATATTGGACTATAATGAAAAAAAAAGTGCCATTTCTGGTAGATACACAAAAGTAGTTGTTGAGTTGAACAGTTATTTAAGAAGATAATGTTTATTGAAAACTTTTGAAAGAAGTGAAGAATACTTAGTGATTTTTGAATACTGCAGAATAGGTTTTACCTTAAAATGTCCAGCTCTGACCTATCTGAATTAATTTCCAGAGCCTATTTATTTTGATTCCAAATAAAATTATAATAATTGAATAGACTTTTTCAGTCCCAACATCTTCTAGTTGCATCTTCTTGGCTTTTTTATTATATGCATTGAGAAATGAAATACTGCAAAATTCACATAAGTATCTTTTAGTTCAGTACTTTAAAATAGTTCGTAATCTTCAAAAACAAAAAACAAGCTTGTCTTCTACAGGAAATTTATCATGGAGAATCATGTTGATTTCAAGGATCTTAAGTTGTTTTGGTTCGTATTCTTCCATTCTCTTAGTGTGATAATAGGGAACATTTCAAAGTGGCAGAGGTTAGATATGAAAGGAAGAAATAGTATTAACTGCATTGGGTTAATAAATATATTTCATGAACTTAATAGATTTTTTTTTTTTTAAAGATTTTATTTATTTATTTGAGACAGAATGAGAGAGAGAGAGCACATGAGAGGGGGGAGGGTCAGAGGGAGGAGCAGGGAGCCCGATGCGGGACTCGATCCAGGGACTCCAGGATCATGACCTGAGCCGAAGGCAGTCGCTTAACCAACTTAACCAACCACCCAGGCGCCCGAACTTAATAGATTTTTTAAAAAGATTTTATTATTTATTTGAGAGAGAAAGCACGAGGGGGAGGGAGGGGTAGAAGCAGACTCCCTGCTGAGCAGGGAGCCCGATGTGGGGCTCAGTCCCAGGACCCTGAGATCATGACCTGAGCTGAAGGCAGATGCTTAACGGACTGAGCCACCCAGGCGCCCTCCCCCCACCTTTTTTTTTTTAAGTAAGCCCTGTGCTGGAACTCCACGACTCTGAGATTGAGAGTCATGTGCTCTACCAACTGAGCCATCCACGTGCCCCTTAATATAAGTGTTTTTTAACCTGATACCTTTTTAAAATTTGGCACAACTGAACTGTTGAATGACCAACGCATTTTCCCCGTTCCTGAATAAATTCACTTGTACTGAATAATGTCATAATTTTTTGACATTTTATGGTCCACTATATTGATGTATAATTGACACATGACAGTTTTAAGTTTAAATCAATGAGTTTTGGCAGATTCATGCAGTCAGCCACCTTACATTCATGATGTAGAACAGTTCTATCATGCCCTGAAAAGTTTGCTCTTGTCTTTATCCCCTTGACACTTCAGATCTGCTTTCTATGACTAGCTATAATTTCATGTAAGTGGAATCATAGTATGTAGTCTTTCTGTGTTTGGCTTCTTTCACTTAGTATTGATGCTTTGCCCTTTTTTTTTTTTTGTATAATGCTTTTGAAACTCATCTATGTTGCATGTCTCAGAAATTTGTTCCTTTTTATTGCTGAGTTCACTGTTTAGAGGCATGTTGAAGCTTTGATTTCTGAAGTTGTATTAATCTTCTGATAAAATGTGTCTTAAAATTTATTTGCAGCAAACTGACCGAGCAAATAGATTTGAATATTTATTAAAGCAGACAGAGCTGTTTGCACATTTCATCCAGCCTGCTGCTCAGAAGACTCCAACCTCACCTTTGAAGATGAAACCAGGGCGACCACGAATAAAAAAGGATGAGAAACAAAACTTGCTATCAGTTGGCGAGTGAGTAATAGTTTATATTTCATAGTTGAAACATTTATTTTTGATAATCTTCATTAGAAGCATAAAGTCACTTCATTAAAAAAATTGTTTTAGGGCTGTTATTTATTTGGCGCCAGTTGGCTTGACAGGAAGTAGCCATACATGTATAAATAAGAATAATGTGTAATGCCTTAACTTTTATGGCATTATCCTGTTTATGGAATTGAGATGTTATCCATTCCTTGGAGAGGAAACAAATGCAGAGGTTAAGCAGCCTACTTAACATCCCACAGAAGTAATTCGAATAATCCAGGCTTGAATTTAGGTCTGATTTGGGGTATGCTGTAGGCATAAACCACATACATGCATCGGGGGATTGCTTTTATCTGAAGTCTGTGCTTGTAAATGGAATGTTGTGATGATTTATGCCATAGGAGTTTGTTTAAAATTTTTATTACTTACTTGTCCTACAAATTGAAGTGTCAAGTTGTATGCTGCCCTTAGGTGGTTGTTTAAAACGTATAAAACAACTCTTATATATTCAGTTTATAAATACTTTCTTGGAATTTTTGTGCTGCTTGAGTAATTAAGATGTTTAATTGGTTATAACTAATAGATTTGATATTAATAGCTTTAGGGTAATCTCAGTTCCCTGGAATGACCATGTAATTCCCAAAGTGAGAAATGAAAAATAATCAGTAATTAAATCCATTAGGTTATCTAAAAGAGGAAATTACAAACTGCTCTCAACAATGTTAAATTTACTATACAGTTTACAGAAACACAGAAGCATGAGCTGTGCCTTGAAGGGATTTTCATCAGAAAGCATAAGCATACCTTAATGTTTTTTTTTTTTTTTAAGATTTTATTTATTTGTCAGAGAGAGAGAGCACAAGCAGGGGGAGTGGCAGGCAGAGAGAGAAGCAGACTCCCCGCTGAGCAGGGAGCCCCATGTGGACTTGATCCCAGGACCCTGAGATCATGACCTGAGCCAAAGGCAGACGCTTAACCTACTGAGCCACTCAGGTGTCCCATAATACCTTAATCTTATATGGAGTATTCCATTTATCTAGTACATCTTACACCTTATCCATTTTGTGTAACCAGAGTGCTTTTGTTTTAATATTTAGGAAACTTCCTAAGAGACACTTGCACTTTAGATGTATTTAAATTGTTCACACTTGAGAAGTTTGCAGCTATTTAATTATTTTTATTTATTTTTATTATTTTTTAAAGATTTTATTTATTTATTTGACAGAGAGACACAGCGAGAGAGGAACACAAGCACGGGGAGTGGGAGAGGGAGAAGCAGGCTTCCCGCTGAGCAGGGAGCCGGACACGGGGCTCGATCGCAGGACCCTGGGATCATGACCTGAGTCGAAGGCAGACGCTTAACGACTGAGCCACCCAGGCGCCCCTATTTTTATTTTTTATTTAAAACATTTTTAAATTTTTTTGAGAGAGAGTGGAAGCAGGGGAGGGGCAGAGAGAGGGAGAGAGAGAATCTCAAGCAGGCTCCATAACCAGTGCAGAGCCGGATGTGGGGCTCGATCTCAGGACCCTGAGATCATGACCTGAGCCAAAATCAAGAGTCGGCTAAGCCACCCAGGCACCCCTTTTGCAGCTATTTAAATGGCATCAGGTCTTCTGCTCTGGAAATGCCAAGTACTGTAATGGATATTTTTATGATATAAGTAGTTAGTAGGATTTCATGAAAAGAAATAATTTTATTAAGATTATATAAGATAAAGATATTCTGTAGTAAATATATAATAAATTGCTCAGCTTGGTCTTACTGGTGTTATTGGGGAAAAGGAGTCTTGGTTAACAGATTTTTTCCTCTATCCTTCAAGCCATCTTAAGTGGAAAGTTAGCTTATGCAAAGTAATTAGGGTGATGGTACTATCCTTAAGTATAAGGACATATGTGTTTTTCTCTTCCTTCCATCATTTACAGTTATATTCAATGAACCCTCACTTTGAAGTAATAAGCACATTCCAGCCTTTATCTTCAGTTTTATAACCATAATAATCAACTATCTTGATAATCGACTGTGAGATTTTATTTAAAAAAAAAAAAGTTAAAGTTCTTTCCTAGTTTGTGGAGAATAAATGAGAATTGAGGGTACATCTTTATACTAAGTTTCATGTGGTTAGAATTCAGAGAAGTATGAGAAATAACATATTAAGACATTCTAATTTGAAGCATATAAAAGAAGCAAGAATATTCTTGCATATATTTACTGCTTTGGTCTGAGTTTCTGAGGAATGCTTCTTTGAGAAGACTGATTATCCTCTTCCATCAAGCATGTACATTTGGTAGAAATCAAGCTATAAATTAGATTTACTGTTTTCTAATTTAAATGAAAATATTTGTTGAAAGTATGAAGATACAAAATTGGAAGCTTCAGAATTGGAGAGTAAGTACTTTTTACTAACCTGAGCCCTTTAGGGATTAAGAAATAATGGCAATATTAAACCTGCAGAAAATGAGGTTTTAAGGGGATGTATCCCAGCTCTCTTGGGATGTAGAATCTAAACATTTCTAAAAAGCTTTGAGTAATTCTGATAAATCTCTGGCTAAGAGTCATTGCTTAAGCACTAAGTCTTTATTCTGCATATTCTACAGCTTTTGGTGAAAGTTGTAGTTTTTGCTTATTTTAAAACATATTCTTAATAGGAGCATGGTTGACACAGAATGTTACATTAGTTTCATGTGTACAACAGTGATTCCACAGCTCTATACATTATACTATATGCTTTCCACAGTGAAAGTTTTTTTGTTTTTTTTTTTAATTTTTGAGTATAGTTGACGTATAATGTTACAATAGTTTTAGATGTACAGCTTAATGTGATTTTACAAGTTTATACATTATGCTTTGTTCATCGCAAGTATAGCTACCATCTGTTCTATTACATTGCTGTTACAGCATTATTGATTGTATTCCTATGCTCTGCTTTTTATTGCTTTGACTTACTTATTCCATAACTAGAGGCTTGTATCTCCCTCTCGCATTATTCACCCATTTGCCCAGTGCCCCACCCTTCTCCCCTCTGGTAGCAATCAGTTCTGTGTGTTTATAGTTCTGATTTTGCCTTTTTTTTTTTTTAGATTTCATATATGAGTGAAGTCTTATATTTGTCGTGCTCAGTCTTATTTCACTTAGTATAATACCGTCTAGGTCCACCCGGGTTGTCTCCAATGGCACAATCTCATCCTTTTGAAAGTTGTAGTTCTTAAGGGTTGCCTAGGTGGTACAGTGGGTTGAGTGTCCCATTCTTGGGTTTCACCTTAGATTCTTGGGTTTCAGCTCAGGTCGTGAGCTCAGGGTTTTTAGACTGAGCCCGCCCTGCATTGGACTCTGAGCTCAGCGTGGAATCTGCTTAAATTTTTTTTCCTTCTCCCTTTGCCCCTACCCTCTTTGTTCGCTCGCTCAAAAAAAAAAAAAGTCGTAGTTTTAAAAATGTGATTTCTGGAGCTATTTTGTGGCAAAAATACTTAAAAAGGTAACTTTAAGTTAGAGATTATGAGATTTTTCTGACTGTAGTTCCTTGAAATGAGATTATTCCATTACCTCAGATGTTACTCTGTTTTAACAATTGTATGTATATCTTAGAAAGCCATGTAAAACGTTTCAGGTTTAAGTTTACTAATAATTCGTACTGTTCCACTTTTCTAGCCTTAATTTAAATGCCTATTAAAAATTATTGTGGAATCTTGGTCAGCCACTTGACTATTATGTTCAAATAGTAGCTGTTGGTAGTTAAAGCTTAAAGTGCTAATCGATTTTATTTTGAACTTGACAGCTACCGACATCGTAGAACAGAGCAAGAGGAAGATGAAGAACTATTAACAGAAAGCTCTAAAGCAACCAATGTTTGCACTCGATTTGAAGATTCTCCATCATGTATGTTATATACATTATATTTATAACTATTTGATTTTTTAAAAAAAATCCCCTTTTGAGACATCCTTTGGTTAAAGTTTTGGATTTGCCTTGGCTATAATTTATAAAGGGAATTTTTAGTAATCTTTTGAAATTGATTGTGAAATCAGATTTTTTTGATGGAAATGGTATTAATGTATTAATATCAATTAGTATGATAGTGGTGCTGTATTTCAAAGGGGCATAAAATGCCATTGTGTTTATTGTTGCCTGAATGTATATGTAAAACTAGGAATGGTTTTCCCTTATATTTGCCCCAGATAAGAAAACTTAATATGTAAAAAAATCACTTCATGAAGACTTTTGTTAACTGATGTCGGGATTTTGTATTAGTTTGTTTTAAAATTTTTTCTGAAACATTTGTTATTAATGGTTTTCCAAAAGAAAACCTGGTTAACCCGGTTTTTAAGTTTTACTTCTATATAATCTTGATAGTCTGGTGGCACATTTATCTTTACTGCAGCCTAGTATTTTTTTCTGATCTTCCTCTTTCTTGATAATTGGTTTGTATGATTGTAGTGGTTGTGAACAGCAACAAAAATTTAGAAAGGTTGGGGCGCCTGGGTGGCTCAGTCGTTAGGCGTCTGCCTTCGGCTCGGGTCATGATCCCGGGATCCTGGGATCGAGTCCCGCATCGGGCTCCCTGTTCTGCGGGAAGCCTGCCTCTCCCTCTCCCATTCACCCTGCTTGTATTCCCTCTCTCGTTGTGTCTTTCTCTGTCAAATAAATAAATAAAATCTTAAAAAAAAAAAAATTTTAGAAAGGTCAACATAGGACATAGGACAACTCTTAAGTTGAACTTCAGGCAAGACGATATCTGGTTAGAAATTCAGTAATCTGTTTAAAGTATGTGTCTTCAGATGTTTTTTGGCTATGGAGTACCCTGTTTCCATTTCCTTCATGAAGTTAGAGACTAGAGCCAGATATATGGTACAAAGGGGGAAGGAAATTTGAATTATATGGATTATCTCTCTCTCACATTCCTGCATTGTAAGTAGTTTTCCCAGTATTGGTTAGTTTTTCGTCTTAAAGCAGTGTTTTTTGAAAGGTGATGGGGTACAGATGTGCATGTTAAAAACATCTGGTGATTGTGATGGGTATACTTAGTAATTATTCTGGGGTGGGAAAAGTGTAGTAAACCCCAAAAGAGATACTGTCTCTCTTAACAGGACCCTGTTGAAAAGTAACTTAGAAAAGGTAAAGGGAAAACAATCTCTATCCTGTCTTATTTCCCCTTTGTTAGGAGGAAGACTAAATCCCCAGAGAGTGTCTATTTGGGTTATCATGGAAGGTGGAAATACTTGGTTTAGAAACACTTGTGGGGTGCCTGGGTGGCTCAGTCTGTTAAGTGTTTGCTTTTGGCTCAGGTCATGATCCCAGGGTCCTGGGATGGAGCCCCGCATCGGGGTCCCTGCTCAGTGGGGAGTCTGCTTCTCCCTCTCCCTCTGCCCTGCTTGTGCTCTCATTCTCTCTCTCAAATAAGTAAATAAATTAAAATCTTAAAAAGAAACTTGTGATAACATTAAAAAAGGATATAAAGAGGTGAGAGTCTCTAGGACCAGTATATAGGTAACATAGGAACTGAGTGATTGGGGTAGGCACTCTGATGCTTTACAATCATGGTTTTGTTTTGTTTTGTTTCACTTGGTTATTGTCCCTATCCATTCACTCCTTCTCTGCTTCAGATCACAGCACCTACTTCTAATGACTTAGAAATTGAAAACAGAAAAGTCAGAGTAAACCTATGTAGGTCCAAGTTAAGACTCTTAAGTTTAATCAAATGAAGAAGGAGACGGCCTTTCTGTATTTAAAATGTGCATTGTGTTTTTTCTTTTATTCTTAGATGTAAAGTGGGGTAAACTGAGAGATTATCAGGTGCGAGGATTAAATTGGCTCATTTCTTTGTATGAGAATGGCATCAATGGTATCCTTGCAGATGAAATGGTATGTATTTGGTAGTTTTTTAGAAGGCCATATTTTGTAATTTAAAGTATTTTTATTTTGTATAATGAAATTTATAAAAGTTAAGATAGTGTAACATAATTTTTGTTGATTACAATCCAGAACTGTTAACAAACTAATCCTCTGTCAAACTTGGTTTAGTTGCATAAGCAGAGTCTATACTTCAGTTGTGAGGAATTATTATTTATGAAAGTATAATAAATTTAAAAGTAATACATTTTGAGAAACGTACTTTTGGTAGACTCTTGTAATACACGGTTTTGGCCATTTATCTTCACTTTTATAAAACACAAATGGGGTTAATTGATTTTTCATTGGTGATTATTTTCTCAAGGGTGGCAGCTTGTACAGTTCTATCTCAAAACATTTATCTCTTGTTTACTACTTAATAGGTATGTAGTGAATGTTTCAAATTTCCATAGAGCTATAGTGCTAAAACAGTAATTGCTTGAAGAAAGTACGGAGTCAAAAGAAATGGGTCTTAATTGTAGCCCTGCTGTGCATGACTTTGGGACAGTCACTTAAACTTCTGGGCCTTATGGATATGGTTAGTAGAACCTCTTTATAGACTTGTGAAGATTAAAAAACAGCTAAACTTGAAACATACCAAGTTCTTGCCATTTGTTAGCTATCATAAACACATAGGTTTTCTTTTAAATGTTTTTTATGTGTCGGGAAGTATAAATATGGATGTCTGTTTTGTTTTGATTATCATTGCTTTGTGGTTATTCTTTCAGGGCCTGGGAAAGACTCTTCAAACAATTTCTCTTCTTGGGTACATGAAACACTATAGAAACATTCCTGGTCCTCATATGGTTTTGGTTCCTAAGTCTACATTACACAACTGGATGAGTGAATTCAAGAGATGGGTACCAACACTTAGATCCGTTTGTTTGATAGGAGATAAAGAACAAAGAGTAAGCTTTTTGTGTTTCATTATTAAAAGAATTTGAATTTAGGTTTGGGGGGCGGATAACTAGAGGAGGGATAAAAGAGGAGGAGTCCAGTAGTAATAAACTTGGTCTTCACAAATATTAGTAATTTATAAATGTAATATTGTCTTGGTGGTGAAGAATCCTACTGGAGAAAGGAGTTGTAGACTGTAGGATGCTGGTATAAGTTTATATAAGAAACAAGTATAGTTTCTTTTACTTTGGAATTGGTTGTATAAAATCAAAGGCTGTGTTCTCATTCTAGAAGCAACATTTTTGTTTTTCTTTTTTTTTTTTTTTTTAAAGATTATTTATTTATTTATTTGAGAGAGAGAGAATGAGAGACAGAGAGCATGAGAGGGAGGAGGGTCAGAGGGAGAAGCAGACTCCCTGCCGAGCAGGGAGCCCGATGCGGGACTCGATCCCGGGACTCCAGGATCATGACCCGAGCTGAAGGCAGTCGCTTAACCAACTGAGCCACCCAGGCGCCCCATTTTTGTTTTTCTTAAAAGAAGTTTTGAGTGTGTGAATTGGTTGGAAATTTGAGGAGCCAGATTTTTTTAGATTGATGTACATAATGGTAATTAATAGTCATCGTAATTTTTAAAGATGCACTGGGTCAATTACAGTATTTTGGTGAGTTGGTATGGTATTTATTGAAATAAGTTAAAATGTTGGTCACTTGACGTTTTTTGGAAGGAAATAATGATACTATTGAAGATAATAAAGTTCAGATTTTAAAGTGTAGTATATCGAAGAATAATGTACTTAATTTTGTTTTCTCTTCATTCAGCTATCATTTCTCCTTCTATAGATCATTTTGTGTATTTTAAGTTACCAAGTTGCTTTTTATGTTTTGGAGCCCAGTTTAAACCACTTTTTGCTTTAGTTTCTTTACTTGTAAAAAGAGTAATAATAACAAAGTTTTATTAGATCTGTAAACAAGAAAGGAATGAAAATGCTTACTGCAAACCATCCTTGAGTCTTCATTCTGTGGCAGAAACCACCTTCTCCTCTTTCTAAACCCGTTTCCTGAGAATTTCAGCACCTGGTGGAAGTGAAGACATTTAAGAGTTTATTGAATTTTGCACTGATAATTTTGTCAGTTATTTTTTATTAAAAGGCTTTGACACTTAGAAATGATTAATGAAGTTAGTTTGAGCTGGTTCTAGATGCTTACATACTATCCCTTTTTAATATTTTTCACCCTCTTTCATGTATTAGATTACTTGTCAGTACATTTAATGTGTAGTTCATTTCTGCATGATATAATTTTTTTCTCTTGCTACCTACACAGGCTGCTTTTGTCAGAGATGTTTTATTACCAGGAGAATGGGATGTATGTGTAACATCTTATGAAATGCTTATAAAAGAGAAGTCTGTTTTCAAAAAGTTTAATTGGAGGTACTTAGTTATAGATGAAGCTCACAGGATCAAAAATGAAAAATCCAAGGTAATTTGGTGTTTGGAAGTGAAAATCATTGTGCCTTTATTTAGAATTTGATCATATGTAGAATATTCTAATGATGAATTTGGTTCTTTTAGTTGTCAGAAATAGTGAGGGAATTCAAGACCACAAATCGACTATTGCTGACTGGAACACCTCTTCAAAACAACTTGCATGAGCTCTGGTCACTTCTTAATTTTTTGTTGCCAGATGTCTTTAATTCAGCAGACGTAAGTATGTCTTAATTGTTTTCTGGATGGAATATTAATGTTTCCGTTTAATGCTATACATTTTTGCAATAAAATTGGCCTTTCAGCCACTGCTTAAGATAATTGTTAATTTTTTACTTTTATGTAGTCTGGTGTAACCTACCAAGTTTTTTATGCATCCCGAGAGTTTACTTTTATGCCTTTTGATTTCAGTATCATTTTATAAATCCGTTGTTTTCTCTATCTGTAATGTCATGGATTCACATACCAAATAGGTAGTCACGTTGGCCTGAATTTCAGCGGCTGTACGTGGACTCAGGTTATTTCCCAAATGAATTTGTGAATTTCATATAGCCTATGTTTCCCCAGGATGGTCTTCAAATTTGGTAAAATCTGTCTAGCCATCTTTTTTTATGGTCTAACAAACATAGAACCTAATCTTTACCTTTTAATCGATTATTTGCACTGATAAAAATGGTTAAGTAGTTATTCAAACTGTTGGTTGTACCTTAGAACGTGATATGTATATTAAGAATCTGCTATTGGTAATTACCATTTTTTTGCTGAACCAGAGTTCATTTTGAACTTTGTTTCCATGGGTGGTGGAGAGAGAGAGAGAAAGAACCTGTGCTTGTGTGTGGCTTTTTGAAGAGCTCAGTAAGTTCCAAAAGGGTTAATTTTGGGTTGTTAAGGATCACTATAAAAGAATAGAGAAATTTGTGTTCTTGGGAGACATTTAATCAATCTCAGGGAGATAGTTCAGTTCTGCTTTTGTGTATTTTGACATTTTTGTTTTAGAGATTTCTTTTTCTTACTGCATTGACACTTTAATTTGTTTAGTAATCTATGAAAGCTTTGTTGTAGTTAACATAATTAATCCTATGATTATGTTTACTAACGAAGCACAAATACATACTAGATGTGCCAAAGAGGTAAGAATATGGAAGTTATCCTTGTTCAGATCCTACCCAGATACTAATGAAATGTTGGTAATTCAGTAAGTTTAATTAAAATTGACACTGCTCTGGAAACTTTGTGTTTGAGTAATCTGAGTAACCTTGGAGAACAAACCAAAGTCATTTTAATTTTTCACCCTTTCTAAAGAAAAATATTTTTCAAGAATATTCATTCTCTAATTCTATAGAACTTCCTTCCCAACTATTCTTTTTCATTGTGAAACTTGTCATCTTGATGTTTTTAATCTGATTTTTCAAGGTAGATCTAAAATGAATTGTTAACAATGACACATGAAAAATAGGGGATTGAACCAAATGATTTTTGCAGTTCACAGCTCAAATGCTAAACTAATTCTAGAATTCATTGTTACATCTAGCATAAAAAGGATATTTATGGTTAATGCCTGTGGTTAATATTTCTGATATTTATTTTCTGTTTTTTAACTAGGACTTTGATTCATGGTTTGATACAAACAATTGCCTTGGGGATCAAAAGCTAGTTGAGAGGCTTCATATGGTAAGTGTTTTGGAATAAGGTTAAAGCATATTTCTAATGGGAAAAATGAAAGAGGTTTAAATTAGTGGATTATTTTTCTGTTAACAGAAAAACATGTTGACTAGAATTATATCTGTTTGAATCCGGTCACCAAACTGTTTAATCTTATACTGGGGACTGGGGGGTGTGAAGTGTGCATTTAGTGTTAGAACCTAAGATGAAATCCTAACTTAATGAGTGGAAAAAGTAATCCAAATCTAAGAGATTTGATTCTCAAAGGCTAAAAGGGTCCATCTTTTTTTTTTTTTTTTAAAGATTTTATTTATTTGATAGAGAGTTAGCGAGAGCAGGAACACAAGCGGGGGAGTGGGAGAGGGAAAAGCAGGCTTCCCGCCAAGCAGGGAGCCTGATGCGGGGCTCGATCCCAGGACCCTGGGATCATGACCTGAGCCGAAGGCAGACGCTTAATGACTGAGCCACCCAGGCGCCCCTAAAGGGATCCATCTTTTGTTCTTAAATTCTGCAACTTGTATAAACAACTGCTAATAGTGCATTGTGAGCAGAGTTGGTAAGTTTTTGCTGTGATATATAGCTTTTTTACTTTTTAAGAAGATTCACAAGTGAAAGGTGGTTGGTAGATAAATTTCTCAAACAGAACCCAGAATATAATAGCCTGACTAGCAGAATAAAACCAGACCTTGTAAGCATAGCATATAAAGCTTTTCATGACCTAATGCAACGGTTCTCGACTTGTATTGACATTTTGGTCTAGATAATTCTGAGGGGCACAGAGAAGGTGGTTTTCCAGTTTAACAGCATTCTTGACACCTCTACCCTCTACATGCCAGTAATATGTCCCCATTTGTGACAACCAAACATGTTGCTGGGCATTGCAAGTGTCCACTGGCCGGGGAGCGGGGGGGTCAGTCTCCTCCCTAAACCCCATGATTTAACTTTTCTGACATTCTCTAACTTCTGTTTATATCACTTGAATTTGTTAGAATTTCTGACCCCATTATCAATTTTCTGTAAACATTGTACTAATTTCAGTCTCTTTGTCTTTGCTGATCCTTTCTGCCACATCTGGTATCTCCTTTCCTGGTCTTCATTGATACATAGTCCAGCACTCAGTGGTAATGTCACCTTTTCCACTGAATATCCGGATGAAGCCAGCCTAGAAGCTTCTTTGTATCCCATCTTTAAAAATCAAGGCATTCTAAGATAGCACTTTGCACTGAATGTTGAAATGTTTAATTTACAAATTTTTTCCTGCTGCATTGTAAACACAAAGGCAGGAAACATGTCTTACATTTGTATCTGTAGCACAATGCCTGGTTTATAGTGTGTATTTGAATAGGGGAAAAATTAAGTCTGTGAATGTTTAAATACTTGTTTCTATATAAATTAATGATAACATACTTTAAAATTCTCATATACTGAAATTTTATTATGTTAAATTTTTGAAGGTGAATATCTTTGACATCTTTGTTTCAAATTAGATGGCATTTAAGCACATAAGCATTCAATTTAGATTTAGAGTATGGAGTGTATATGTAGACTTTGCTTTAATAAATAGGTACATGTATGTAAAGCAAACTAAAACAATCTACATAACAGAATCAGCCACTTTTGGCATTGCTGTTTATTTTGTTCAGACAGTAGTGTGAAAATGCTTATCAAATCGGGAAGAGGAGGTCTGGTAGCTACCTTTCTGTACTCTGTCTTGAAATTCCTACCTTAGCTCCTGTGGTCTCATGATGAAAGAGGATATTCAGAATCAGCATAGGTATACGTAGGAATGAGATCATTTTTACTTAATGAATCAATGATCTGTTATTGCAGAATACTCCCCTCTCCTACCAAAAAACCCTTAATAGTATCTATTTTAGTAATCCTAGAATTTATGGGTTGGCTGAGTGTTTTCTTTGCTGGTTTTACCTGGATTTAAACAGCTGCATTTACCTGGACAATTTTGAAGAGGGCCAGTGGGGCTGAAGGTCATTAGTAACATATCTGGCAGTGGATGCTGGCTGTCAGCTAAGATTATCTATACTAGTTTCCTTACATGATGACGTTAGAGAAGTGTTGCTGATTATTTTTCTCACCATTTTTTAATTTCTTTGTGATCATATTTTTATAAGCTAGTGTAAATAGAACATAGGAAGATACAAATAAAGAATCTTTAGTTTTGTAGATACTCTAAAATTTTATGAGAATGAACTACATACAACATGGATAGGTTTTACAAACATGTTGAATAAAAGAAACGAGATAAAAGGTATATATTGTATAATTCTATGTACGTAAAGTTAAAAATAACAGGCAAAACTATGATGTTAAAATTTAAGGGGGGATAGTGACTGGGAAGGTTGCAAGAAGGGTTTCTGCAGTATTCTATTTTTATCTAGGTGATAGTTGATTACATGGGTATGTTTACTTGATTGAAATTTATTGAACTGTGTAGTCATGATTTGTATACTCTTTATGCTCTACTTCCATAAGAAAAGGGTAGTAAAATTTTTATTAAGTTTTTATTTTAATTTCAATATAGTTACCATACAGTGTTCTATCAGTTTCAGGTGTACAGTGCAGTGATTCAACAATTCAATACATCACCCTGTGCTCATCACAAGTGTACTGCTTAATCCCCATCTCCTATTTCATCCATCCCCCGCACCCACCAAAAGGGTAGTAAATTTAAAAACTAACCATAAAAACATTTTAATGTGGATATAGCTTTAAGTACTGTTGGACAATCTACATAAAAATAGAGTAATACCCCCCAGCCCCCTGGCCCGTTGTCTGCAGGTGATACATTCCAAGATTCCCAGTGGGTGCCTGAAACCACGGATAATACTGAACTCTGTATACACTGTTTTTTCTTATACATATATATCTATGATAGTTTAATTTATAAATTAGGTGAGGTGAGAGATTAACAGCAATAATTATAAAATAGAATGATTATAATATTTTATAAGTTATATAAATATGGTCTCTCAAAATACCTTATTGTACTGTACTCCCCCTTTTTGTGATGATGTGTGAGATGATAAAATGCCTACATGATAAAATGAAGTGAGGTGAGTGATGTAGGCATTGTGATGTAGTGTTAGTCTGCTGTTGACTTTATGATATATTAGGAGGAGGATCATCTGCTTCTGGACTGTGGTTGATGCAGGTAACTGAATCCATAGATAAGAGAACATGATAACTAGTTTTAAACCTGAAAGACAGTGAATGTTGAAAGCATCAAAACTTACTGTGTTGGGGGCGCCTGGGTGGCTCAGTCGTTCAACGTCTGCCTTCGGCTCAGGTCATGATCCCAGGGTCCTGGGATGGAGCCCCGCATCGGGCTCCCTGCTCAGCGGGAAGCCTGCTTCTCTCTCTCCCACTCCCCCTGCTTGTGTTCCCTCTCTCTCTATGTCTCTCTCTGTCAAAAAAATAAATAAAATCTTAAAAAAAAAAAAAAAAAAAACTTACGGTTTTTAGTGTCTTATGACAATATATATAGCAAGTTTATATTCATTATATGTATTGAATAAGTAATGATCTTATATTACCCTTCAGGAACTCAGTAATAAATTATATTTGGAAGGGAGAAATTCTCAAACAGATAAATTTCCATGTATTTAATAAACAATTTTGAGATCCTGAAATAATAGATAAGATCATGTTTCTTTTTTTTTGCTCTTTTTTATTTTATTATGTTAATCACCATACATTACATCATTAGTTTTTGCTTTTTTAAAAATTTTATTATGTTACGTTAATACCATACATTACATCATTAGTTTTTGATAATTTCTGTTTCTTTTTGATCTTGAAGGTTTTGCGTCCATTCCTCCTTCGTCGAATTAAAGCTGATGTTGAAAAGAGTTTGCCTCCGAAGAAGGAAGTTAAAATCTATGTGGGTCTCAGCAAAATGCAAAGGGAATGGTATGTGTTCTTAGACGTTTTACAATCACTATTGATTCTTCACTAACTTTCATTTGTATTTTGTTTTCCTAATTGTGTCTGCAAGGAATTGTTGTTTGCTCTCTTGAACTTAACCTGAAGGGTTTTCTGGTTATGTAATTTAGGACTTGCTAATCAAATTTATAATACACAATCTTAAAACTTTTAGCTTATAATCAGGATGGGAAGTTTATGAATTCTTCAAGGATTAAAGTTGGCATTAATTAAACAGGGATATATACATAAGCCCCTCTACTTGGGTTTTTTAAAAAGAAACTGGTGGCACAGATGCAGACAGATGGTTACCTTGGTGGTTCATAAGTACTGGATTATGGATTAGGGCTGATCTGATGAAGTTGGAGATTGTAGAGATATGAGAAAATTTAGATGCTTTCTTTTAGTCCATAAAGCTGTTAGATATATTTAATTTAAAAGACTCCATTCTGAGCAGATGTTTTATTTTAGGCAGGATTCCCTTTGTGAATTTATGGTGGTAATATAAGGTAGTTATTTTTCAACACCTCTCTAGGGCATAATAAAAATGTTGAAAACCTTGTAAGTTTCTTTTCTTTTCTTTTTTTTTTTTTTAGGTTTTATGGGTATATGAAATCCAAAAAGCTAGAAACCACTAACTTAGTATTAAATTTTTTTACAGATAGAAAGGTCATCATGAATCAACAATGTGAAATGGTTGTAGGAAAGATTGTTACCTTAGCATATATTAACATAGGTGTAGTGTTCAAAGGAGAGAAATACATAGCCATACTTATTCTTTACTGGTTACACTACATTTCAAGTGTTAATTCCATACTTAATATTGATAAGTATTTGCAAGGGGCTGGAGTTGTTGGTAAAAAGAAAGGATAGAATGTAAAGAAATGGGCATGTTACCTAGGAAAGACATGACCACTGTAGAAAGTAGTCCATCCTAAATGTTCTTAAAACTTTTGGAAGACTTTTATAAGGTAGCAGTTGTATGGCTCTAAAATAACAGAACTGTGACATAAGTTAGTGTTAAGGGAAGAGAAATCTTTTAGTTAAACATTAGTGAATTTTAATCAGCCAGAATTGTATGGAAAGGTCTGCCTTGAGTAATACTTTATGTCTCATAACTGGAATTATGCATATATTGCTTAGGTTATTGAAGTTATTTTGCTCAGAGGATTCAAGGTCTTGAAACTTTGGTATTTAGATAGATTGCTCTTTCCTGCAGGATGCTTACATTCTTGATATGCATTCAAGGCTTTTTACAATCCATCCTTAGCCTGTGGCTATAGTTTTACTGCCCTCATATCTCCCCCTCCCTCATGTACTTTTATTTATATTTAAATCACATTGATTTCATTTTATTCTCATCATCATGCCTTACCCTATCATGATTCTTCCTCCCTCCTTAGTTCTTTCTGTTCTCACCCAAATGCTACACTAACTGTATTGAATAGTAATTGAATATTGACACTCTTCCACTGGAAAAGACTACAAATTAAGTTTAAAACTTAGGTTTTGGGGTGCCTGGCTGGCTCAGTCAGTAGAGCATGTGACTCTTATTCTTGAGGTTGTAAGTTCAAGCCCCATATTGGTTGGGTGTAGAGATTACTTAAAAAAAAAAAAAATAAATAAAACTTAAGTTTTAAGTTTTGCTTAATTATTTAAAAATGTTGCGTCATACTGCTTTGTTTTAATTCATCCCAAGGAGACATACTATTTTGGCTCTCAAGGCCCAAAGTGTAAGTGTGAACATTAGAACAATGGGAGGAATAAAGAAAAACAAGGAAAGAGAAAGATGTTTTAATACATGGTAAACTCCTAACCACATCTTAGAAGTTGATGGGTTGTTCTTCACAGGTATTTTTGGGTTGAGGTAGGGGAGGGAATTAAGTATGGAAAGTAATAGGGACTGGTTAGGGCACATTTGAACCCTTTTAAAATATTTTTCTTCTCAATAGGTATACTCGGATATTAATGAAGGATATAGATATATTAAACTCTGCAGGGAAGATGGACAAAATGAGATTATTGAACATCCTGATGCAGTTGAGGAAATGCTGTAATCATCCGTATCTATTTGATGGAGCTGAACCTGGTCCACCTTATACAACAGATATGCATCTAGTTACCAACAGTGGCAAAATGGTGGTGTTAGACAAGCTGCTCCCTAAATTAAAAGAACAAGGTAACTACGTTACTGGTAACAAATTGAGAAGTGATGAAATTCAGATGTGAAATAAGGGACCACTACGGTTTGAAATTCTAATCCTGGCACTTTTATAAACTTGAAGTGTGGGACATTTAAAAACTTCTGTCCATTATCTGAACTTCATTTGTCCCCCCAATTTTAGGCTTATAAATCTTCTTAGGGATCAATAGGGCAGTTACAATCCTGGATTTTGAGGAGAGTTCTCAATTTATATTTGCTTTCCCAGATATGTCAGCTTTTTGTTATAAAGTGCCAAGAACGCTCTTTCCACACATAGTTCCCAGATACTTTGGTAGACAGTGTTGTTGTGTTCATACGTTGTTTTTTAATTATTTATGTGGATTTTTAAGTTATTTAAATGACAATAAATTATTTAAATTTAAGTAATAAAGTTAAACAGTAATAAATTATTAAACATGTGCATGGACCCAAAGCAGTTTTGTTTGTAACATGCTTGCTTTGTATGTGAAAATGAGTATGTAGTATGTATAGAGATGTATTTAAAATACATGAATGTAGAATATATTTAGTGTGATGCCAGCTTCAGTAATTACAGACTCATGGCAAAACTTGTTTACATCTGTACTGTACCTGCTTTCCTCCTCGCAGATTAATTTGAAGCAAGTCCCAGACATCAAAGCTTTTCATACACAAATTTTTAATTCTGTAATGTGAAATAATACAGTCAGATTTCAGATTTTTCCATTTGTGTTTCTCTTGTGTGTTTTCGTAAGAATGACTTGTACCAGTCACCTCTAGGATATTGACTATCAACCTTCTAAGAGTTGTCAGTGAATTGGTTTACTTTTTTCTTGCTTTTACACTTTTTTGTGGAAATATATTTTCTAAAATACTTTTCTTGAAAGCTAAGTAGTAAAGGATTGAATTGGTGGAAAGGGATCACAAGAACTTGGTAGAAATACTCAGATATTAACGAAAGCTATATTAAACTCTGAAAGGAAAATGGGGACTATTGAGCATCCTTAGGCATCTCGGGTATAAGGTGAGATACCAGCAGATTATCAGCCTCAGCTTCCAAGACAAGATAATTTCATAATCTTTATTTTTTTATAATGACTCCTTGGTCTTCATACATTCTGCTCTGAAGGTGTTGTGCAGCTGGCTAAAGAAATGGAAGGCAGTTGAATAACTTGAATCATGGCATAAGTGAAAGATGACCATGTAGATGGTGAGGCCACATTTATGTTATGGTCTTCAGAACTAGAATGAGATGGGTTTGGGGTATGTGTTGGAGAATGTTCAGGGCCATGCACATGGGAGAATTGCGGTGGTGGGGGGGGGGTTGGTGGAAGGTTATTTTTCAGTGCATGTGGAATAAAAAGGATTCTCTCAGCCTTGGGACAGAGCCAGGTCAGAACAAATACCTTTTCCGTTTACCTTAGTGTGTTGTAAAGGTATTACCCTTTTCTGTTTGTGCCATTATGGGAAAAATGGGGAGAATAACTGACTTGGATAAATAAATAATGTATGTTTTTTTTCTTATAACCAACTAGGTAACTTAGAATTAAGGGGTAACTGGTTAGTCTTAGTTTTGATTGGCCTTAAATATTTATTTGTTTATTTATTTTTAAAGACTTTATTTATTTGACAGCGAGAGCAGGAACACAAGCAGGGGGCTAGTGGGAGAGGGAGAAGCAGGCTTCCCAGCGAACAGGGAGCCTGATGTGGAGCTCGATCCCAGGACCCTGGGATCATACCTGAGCTGAAGGCAGATGCTTAACGACTGAGCCACACAGGCGCCCTGATTAGCCTTAAATTTTTAAATAAGTTTTTTTTACCTTTTTTTTTTTTTTTTTGAAGATTTTATTTATTTATTCATGAGAGACAGAGAGAGAGAGAGAAGCAGAGGGAGAAGCAGGCTCCCCACTTGAGCAGGGAGCCCGATGCGGGACTCGATCCCAGGACCCTGGGCTCATGACTTGAGCCAAAGGCAGACACTTAACCATCTGAGCCAGCCAGGCGCCTTCAGTTTTTTTACCTTTGAAGCTTCTGAAAATGAACTGTTCTGTTTGCTAACAGGTTCACGAGTACTAATCTTCAGTCAGATGACAAGGGTATTGGATATTTTGGAAGATTATTGCATGTGGAGAAATTATGAGTACTGTAGATTGGATGGGCAGACACCCCATGATGAGAGACAAGTGAGTAAAATCCAGGGAGGGAAGGTAAGAAATTATCAGAAAAAATAATTTCCTGACATTTGTTTTATTTTATATCTATAGGAGTCCATCAATGCATACAATGAGCCAAACAGCACAAAGTTTGTTTTCATGTTAAGCACACGTGCTGGTGGTCTTGGCATTAATCTTGCTACTGCTGATGTAGTAATTTTGTATGATTCAGATTGGAATCCCCAAGTAGATCTCCAGGCTATGGTAAGAGAACAGTAAATACATTCTTAATATTTTCTTAGAGCTTAATATTTTCATTAGAGCAAGCTAATTGTCTGTAAATGTCAGTGACTTAACCCAGTAGAGTTTTTTCTCTGACCTAATAATTCAGAGAGGGTGTTTTGTAGGTGATCTCTCATCTAAAGCAGGATATCTCTATCTCATAGCTTTGCCATATCTTAGAACCTTGGAGTCTAGCTGTATCCTGTGCATCCTGATGGCAGAAGGGGGGGAATAGAGTTGAGGATTGCCTAGGAAATTTTTTATGGGTCAGACCTGAAAGTCACAATCATTGGCCAGCACTTAATCATATAGCGTAACTGGGTGCAAGGGAATTGGCAAATTATAGTATAGTTGTGCCTTAGGAGGAAAGGGAAACAGGTTTGGTGAGCTACAAATCTTCCTACCACGTTGGATGCTTAAAATTTATACCCCTGTGTGGAAGTTCTTTGGCTAGAACAGGAAGATCATTCTTAGGTTGAGAAAATTTATGATCTGTAGATTAATATGAAAACTTACAAATTTTTAAGTTTGATACTGTTAATGACTTGACCCATGGTATTGGTGACCATAACTCTGGCGTTGGTTGCTTTTATCCTATACTCTATAAGGGTGGTTGAGGAAAATTGATCAGTTACAAATAGGGATGTTTTGTAAGAATGTGTTTTGTGAACTTAAGTTAAACAGAAATGGAATTCAAATTAATTTGACTACTTGTATGTAGTTATTTTGGGTGAATTTAAAGACTAGGATATTTATGTTTGTGGAGTTCTTTTATTTATGTCACTTATTTCCCTAATAGTGAAAATTTATATATGATTTAGGTAGAAAAACAATTTGAATCTAAACCTAAGAAAAATAGATTAAAAAAAAACCCCTTATCATCCAACTTAATTATAATTTTGTCTTTCTTATTTGGAGACATGTGAATTTTTTTTATTATTTACTTATTTTTAAGATTTTATTTATGTGAGAGAGAGCGGGAGCTCGGGGAGGAGCAGAGGGGAAAGGGACGTGGGGTTTGGTTTCAGGACCCTGAGATCATGACCTGAGCGGAAATCAGGAGTTGGATGCTCAACGGACTGAACCACCCAGGCGCCCCCGGAAACATGTGAATTTTATATCAGTATAATCTAGTGAAAGTAACCAGATAGTTTTTCACGGATTCAGCATCTGTTGTGTTCCATACCTCCTAAAAGTTTTCCTTTGATAACCAATATTAATTTGATTGAAATGGAGAAACTTTGAGAATCTAGGAAATACTAATCTAATACAAATTTATTTTTAGGATAGTTTTGTTACATTAAGAACTTCCACACTTGAGAATATTTTAATTTTGCTTTTCACTATACACAGTCATGTGTTATTTATGTAATTTTTAACTGTATTCAAAATAACATGGTAATTTGCCTAGGACCGAGCACATAGAATTGGACAAACCAAGACCGTTAGAGTGTTCCGCTTTATAACTGATAACACTGTGGAAGAAAGAATAGTGGAACGTGCTGAGATGAAACTCAGACTGGATTCAATAGTCATTCAACAAGGTGAGCCTTAGAGCTTTAAAAAATTTACCAAGTTGGATTAACAAATATTTTTTTCCTAGATTTTTTAGGAGGTTCTTGTTATTGAGCATCTATGGAATCAAGTTGGCAGCCTGAACGATATTCATATTCCAGAAAATAGTAAGTTTTACTTTTAATAAGAGGATAGGTATGGGCTCAGGAAGGTTGAAGTTTGCATATTGGCTTTGCCAGTCAGCAGTTCTTTTATACCACCTAAGCCTGTTTCCTCATCTGTTAAATGGGGATAAAGAGAATTAAAGTTTAGTATTTTTAAGGATTAAAGGGGGAAATGATATAAAATACCCAGCATTCAGTGTGGTACATATTAAATAGAGCTGTGGTGAGTATAATTTACATGTACTAAAAAGTACTCTGTTAATTATTCTGGGGTAAAATGAAGAAATAAAACTGAAACTCAAAGAATCTGATGTTATTTTTTTTTTCTAGTCTGCAACTATTTACTGAACAGCCACCAGATGCGAGGCTTTGTTCTTAGTGCTGAGAATACAATGGTGAAAGAAAGCAACAAATGTTCTTACTCTCATGGAGTTTTTAATTTAGTGAGAGGGGAGGCCCAGAATAAACATTTATGTAAATAGGACTAGAGGGTGAGAGTGGGAATGCTCAATAACCTCAGGCTCATATTGGTTTCTTTCATTCTCAAATTTGCATTATGAACATGTACTTTTAATCTGTCTATAAAGAGAGATACACTGTATATTGTTAGCTGATGATTCCGTATTGGGTGACTTCATTTTGTTAACCGGCTTTTAATTTCCAGGTAAGTAAGGGAATGTTGTATTTCTTTCATATTCTGTTAATGCCAACCATAGTGTTAGCTACATCTCTAAATATGTGAAATAAATGATGGCTTATTGTTAATTTTTATTAATAATTACTTATTATCAAGTGCTTACTTTGTGCCAAGCAAGGTACTAAATACTTTGCATCCATTATCTCCTTTAGCCAGCTTGAGGTTGGCATGAGAAGTAGAGGCAAGTCACTTGTTTACTGTGCATGTAGCTAGGAAGTGATGCATCTAAGACCAAGAACTATATTAACTATTAGAGGGAAGTGTTTACTTATGAAAGTCTCTGGAGCCTGCCAAACAGAAAGGTTTCTCATAGTAATGTAATGGCTAGTTCTTTTCCCCCTCACATTCTTCATCCATGTTTTTAGAAAAACATTTGCCTTGTAATATTTTAATTCTCATCTGTGAAACACTTTTTAAAAAAAGAATGAAAATTTATAATCAGCTTAGAAAAGCTGTTTGAGTTTTTTTACTTAGTTTTTTGGTTTTGGGGGGGCAAATTTTAGAGCGAAATTTTGTGCTAATAGCTTTGTAGGCATTAGTCAAATAGCAAGCCTTAGGTGTATACCTTTCTATTACTGTTTGTGGAGTGTAAGGGATGTAATTAAAAATAATGAGAAATCGTAGAGCTGCTTTATGTCTGAATAGCTCCTCCTCTGTCCAATGGGGAAGTAGTTTCAATAAGACAGAACATTTTGATAGTGAGATCGCTTTCAAACCAAAGAAACGTTCTAAAGATAAATCCTAACTTTAAAAGTCTCATAGATGTTGGTGGATTCTGTTAGGGATCCAAAGCCATGATACACAAGCATTTAAGATCCAGGAGAACAACTTTGGTCTTTATCCATTCATTCATTACAAGTTGGTTGGAATACAAAACTTGAAGCTTTATGTAAGTTTATGTGAATGGCCCTTTAGGGTAGAAATAATTCTTTATGGTATTTTGGTTGGTTTGTTTTGATTCCTGTATCTTTGAAAACACAAATTACAGGGTTGGCCAAATTCCTACCAATTGAAGATCTTAGTTTTCTTAGGTTGAATGTCTTCTATGATCAAAATAAGAGTTTCAGTTCTTAAGATTAGGAAATTTTCAGAAATTGATGTGTATTTCAGTCCTTAGCTAAAGCTTGGTAATACGAAGGTTTTTTTGTACTTCACCTTTTTGTCTTGTTTTTTGTACTTTTCTAAGAAAAAGCTGATGGAGTATTAGTATTAATGTCTTTCTGCTTATCAGAAACTTCTTGTCTTTATAATGATCTCATCTGTTGATACTTTAAAAAATCTTGCTAATAATTTTTATTTTCAAACATCCCAACTTTTGCTATTATTCCGCCCATTCAAGAGTACATTTTATTGAGATGGTATACAGTAGGCTTCATTATGTAATAGGTTAACTTTAGAATATTTCAAAGCTTACAACTAAGAATCTGACATTGCTTTATGTGAAAATGAAAATTATCAGAAGTAAATAAATGATGGATGCTTGAGGCAAAATACATGGTATTACATCTAACATTTAAAGTTACAAGTTTTCAGTAAAACAGACCTTGTTCGATTAACATTATACAACACTTTTTTTTTCAGGAAGGCTTGTGGATCAGAATCTGAACAAAATTGGGAAAGATGAAATGCTTCAAATGATTAGACATGGGGCAACACATGTATTTGCTTCAAAAGAAAGTGAGATTACTGATGAGGATATTGATGGTATTTTGGAAAGAGGTGCAAAGAAGGTGAGGAATAGGTTAAATGATAATGTTTTTAATATATAAAATGTTTTAAATCAGGACTGTTTGAGGAAATACTTGTTAGGTGAACCAAAAAAAGCTTTTATGTACTGCAAAGCCTAACTTATTTTAACTACAATTCTCAAGGTTTTTTTTTTTTTTTTTTTTTTTTTATTCTCAATCTAATAGGGTGTTTTTTTCCCGTAGACTGCAGAGATGAATGAAAAGCTCTCCAAGATGGGTGAAAGCTCACTTAGAAACTTTACAATGGATACAGAGTCGAGTGTTTATAACTTTGAAGGAGAGGATTATAGAGAGAAACAAAAGGTAATTTTTGAGAGACATTTTGATTACTTGAAGACTTTCTTTTACTTGAAACTTGGAATTTTAAGTGTTAGGTGTAATGCCTTGTAAATTTGTCTCAACGCAGTCATTTCTATATATTCACATCTGAATTATTTTCATTTTTACATGTAATGTCGAATTTTCAGTTAGTAAACTCTGAAATGTTTTCAAAATTTATGTTATGAGGCTTACTGTATACATTTATAGTTGAAATATATTGTGTGGGGTGATTTATAATTGGAATCTTTGAAAATTAAAATAATTGGCAAAAAAATTGCCACAACCTTACTAGATTTTTTTTTTAAACAGAATTGCATGGTAATAATTAAAGGGAAAAAACTTCCGAGTTTCTCAAGTAATATTTGTTAGTATGTAGAGAAATTAGAAAATACCTACAAGTTGGAAGAAAAAAAATTGTTCTAGTCAATGTTTTTTCTGTTAACATTTAGGCTTGTATATCCTCTGAATTTTTTTCTAGGCTAAATATGTATCTACATTTTTCTCCTAGTTTGGGTTATAGCATATATTCTGTAGGTCGTCCCCCCAACCCCCGAATGTTCTCCATTTGGTCAAGAAATACTTGCTGTGTATCTATGCTATTCACTAGGCAGTGTCCTATGTATTAATTACATAGTTTTGAGCAAAGTAGCATAGTCCTAGCCTCGTAGAGCTTATAGTCCAGGATCTAACGAATATCTCACTAACAACATTTGTAATGATGTACACAGTGAGTTGTGTTCACCTAAGATTTGCGACTGTAAATAATCAAAGTTGGTGATACGAATTGTTTCCCATATGCTAGATTGCATTCACAGAGTGGATTGAGCCACCTAAACGAGAAAGAAAAGCCAATTATGCTGTTGATGCCTATTTTAGGGAAGCTCTTCGTGTCAGTGAACCCAAAGCACCCAAGGTGAGTAGATAGAGCAATAAAATATCCAAAAATATCGAAATGGAAATTTTTTTCTTATATTCTATTTTTTTTAAGATTTTAATTTTTTTAAATTTATTTGCGAGAGAGAGGGGGAGAGAGAGCACACAAGCGGGGGGAGCGGCAGGCAGAGGTAGAAGCAGGCTCCCTCCTGATCGAGGAGCCCAGTGCAGGACTCGATCCCATGATCCTGGGATCATGACCTGAACTGAAGGCAGACACTTAACCAACTGAGCCACCCAGGTGTCCCTATTTTTCTTATATTTTTACAGTTAAATCAGATTGAGAATTAGAATCTTTTGTGGCTTCTTACAGTGTATTTCCTTCCGTTTTTGTTAAAAAGTTTTCTAAAAATTAGTTGTGAATGTATGCATTTAAAGTTTGATTAATGTTCATTATTTTTTTTTAAAAGATTTTATTTATTCATTTGAGACACAGAGATACATAGAGTGAGAGAGAGAGCATGAGCAGGGGGAGAGGTGGAGGGAGAGGGAGAAGCAGGCTCCCCCTGAGCCAGGAGCCCGATGTGGGGCTCGATCCCAGGACTCTGGGATCATGACCTGAGCTGAAGGCAGACGCTTAACAGTCTGAGCCACCCAGATGCCCCTCATGTTCATTATTAATGATAGATTCAGTTGCTTGGAGAATTGGCCATCATAGTTTATGGAAAAGGGAAGATTACAATTAAAGCAAAAGAATTTCTTTTTTATGGATGATAATTGTTTTTTTACTCTAGGCTCCTCGACCTCCAAAACAACCTAATGTTCAGGATTTCCAGTTCTTTCCTCCACGTTTATTTGAATTATTGGAAAAAGAAATTCTCTATTACAGAAAAACTATTGGGTATAAGGTAATGGGAATAACACTGTTCATACTAATCTGGTTTGTTTTAAATTTAAAACTAATTTTCGTTTTGTTTTTTCATGGTTGTATTAAAACATGTAAAATATCATTTGGTTGGTTAAGAATTTAGTTCATCACATAATTCTTAAAATCTGCTGATGGATGACATAAAAAAATATTTTTTTTAGGTGCCTCGAAATCCTGACCTACCAAATGCAGCACAGGCACAAAAAGAAGAACAGCTTAAAATTGATGAAGCTGAACCCCTTAATGACGAAGAGTTAGAGGAAAAAGAGAAGCTTCTAACACAGGTATATAGAGTCTTTATTCAAAATAAAATTTAGTAACCATTACTTTGTAAGGTACTGTGTTTAGGTCATGTTGGGGTATACAAAGACGTACAAGTTTTTTCTTTTGAAATGGAGTAATTGGAAATGATAAAGCATGAGCATATGGGTTGGGTATATGCTACATTTTGATTGTCAGTAGTTGTTGAGGTAGTTGAGTAGATTTGTAGATTTGCACCAGCCTTGGTAGAGTGCATATCCTTTTGATTACCTTTCTTCCGGTATTCATTTTTTTTTCCTGTGACTCTTCCGCATTGGAACAGTACTATGTTACTGTTCTTAATTACAGGTCTCTCTTTGGTACTCTTTTGTTAACAGTCTTTATAGTTTAATCAGGGTCTTTTAGAATCTGGCCTTAACCTATTTTTGAAGCTTTATTTTTCTTCCATTTTCCCACTTGATACATCTTTGCTCTTCAGTCTTATGTTTATTGCTGTTTGCAAACTCCTGCTATTCCTTCAGAGTTCAGCAAAAATGTTACTTTTTCATTCAGCATTCCTTACTTAAGCTCTTCCACTGAGATTTAATTGCTTAGTTATGTAAGCAATATGTGATGTATTGCTGAAAATGCACATGTAGGTGTATGAAAAGTTACCACTTTAAAAGAACTTAAAACCTAAGAGTAATTGAAAATTTTCTAATACTTTAGAAATATTGGTGTGTGTAATAGCATCTTATCCACGTTCGGTGTGCTGTTGTTAAATGTTTTGTTTCCATTGCCTTGAAGGGATTTACCAATTGGAATAAGAGAGATTTTAATCAGTTTATCAAAGCTAATGAGAAGTGGGGTCGTGATGATATTGAAAATATAGCAAGAGAAGTAGAAGGAAAAACTCCGGAAGAAGTAATTGAGTATTCAGGTAATTCTTTTATTATTTTAATAGATATAAGAATGTTCTCAGGTTTTTGGAGAGCTGTTGAGTTCAGATTTTATTATTCTGAATTATGTTTTGATAAGCTAAATTTTGCCACCACTTTTAGGGCCTTATTTTTTGTGTTTTTAAAAAACTTGAGTTGGAAAATGTTCTCTTTTTTAAAATGGCATAGTTGTTACTATTTTTTTTTTTACCCTAGCCAACTGGCTATTGCTAAGAAAATAAGAATAGGTCACTGAAAAATTGTGCTTTCATTTTATTTTATTTTTATTTTTTTATTTATTTTTTATTTTTTTATTTTTTTAAAGATTTTATTTATTTATTTGACAGAGAGAGACACAGCGAGAGAGGGAACACAAGCAGGCGGAGTGGGAGAGGGAGAGGGAGAATCAGGCTTCCCGTGGAGCAGGGAGCCTGATGCGGGGCTTGATCCCAGGACCCTGGGGTCATGACCTGAGCCAAAGGCAGACGCTTAATGACTGAGCCACCCAGGCGCCCCATTTTATTTTTTTCTATAACTTCTCAAGTACTATATGCCTGTGTTTCCTGAAATCACTTGGATTGTCAAGTGAAGAGGTAGTTGTGCGGCGATGAGTGTGCTTAGAATTCAAGAATAGAAATTTAAGAGTTGGGAGATACTTAAATCACCCAGTTCATCTCATTTTTTTACAGTTAAGGAAACTGAGAAATTAAATAATTGACTTATTTGTAGTATTAGATGTGAGAGAAATGGAAACATTTCTTAATCCTTAGCAAATTATTTATGATAAATTATATTTTCCCCATTTCGTTCACTTGCCCCATCTGTCCAATTTTTACTCTTTTACCAGCTGTATTCTGGGAAAGATGCAATGAACTCCAGGACATAGAGAAGATTATGGCTCAGATTGAAAGGGGAGAGGCAAGAATTCAAAGAAGAATTAGTATCAAAAAAGCACTTGATACGAAGGTACTTTGTGTATTAATAAATATGGTAGTTGGTGATATAACTCCTAGCTGAGAATATGCGAGTTAAAGTAACTTTTTAAAAGGAAATGAGTGCTGTGTATTGTGTAAAGACTGATGAATCACAGACCTGTACCCCTGAAACAAATAATACATTGTGTTAATAATGAAATGAAATGGTTTAAAATGAAGATTTTCTTCAAAGAACAATATTCAAATGTTACAGGTATTCCTCAACAGAATTTACCTTAGTACTTCAGTTGATATATCTGAGAGTTCCTATGATTAGCTTTTTCCTACAAAGTCTGAGCCTGTATTTCTCTTTAGAATAATAAAGACTATGAAGTTGTTTTCACAACAAAGGTTATATAATGCGATTGAGGTGCTTTGGATAGAAAATTCTGATTTGGAATGGAACACTTTTAGCTAATTTTACTAAAGCTAAGTTTGAAATACAGATTATATAGGATTTATATTTTATATAAAATTTTACTTGATAGATTGGTCGGTACAAAGCACCTTTTCATCAGCTGAGAATATCATATGGTACTAATAAAGGGAAAAACTACACTGAAGAAGAGGATCGTTTCCTAATTTGTATGCTTCACAAACTTGGATTCGACAAAGAAAACGTTTATGATGAATTACGACAGTGTATTCGCAATTCTCCTCAGTTCAGATTTGACTGGTTTCTTAAGTCCAGAACTGCAATGGTGAGTCCCTGGGCCTTTCTGTGTAATGTAGCAAACAGTTCAGAGTAAGTATTGGTTAATATTCTTTAAGGTAAGTAACTTATTAAGAGAAAATTGTGGTTTCACCCCATCTTTGGAGTACATTTTTGTTACAGTAGTGTAAGTATCATGGGTTAAATCAGTTCCTTAGAAAACCGTTCTCATCTACAGTTAAAAATCTATTATCATGGATAACTTAAAAAAATTTCTTGGTTCCATCCTCTTTTAATATCACATACCTTTTTTTTTTTTTTTTTTTTTAAATATCACATACCTTTTAACATCACTACATAGGATAAGGACTAGTTTTTTTTTTTTTTTTTAAAGATTTTATTTATTTATTTGACAGAGACAGAGACAGCGAGAGCAGGAACACAAGCAGGGGGAGTGGGAGAGGAAGAAGGGAGAGGGAGAAGCAGGCTTCCCGCCGAGCAGGGAGCCTGATGCGGGGCTCGATCCCAGGACCCCGGGATCATAACCTGAGCCGAAGGCAGATGCTTAACGACTGAGCCACCCAGGCGCCCCAGGACTAGTTTTTTTTTTACTTTAATCAGGTTCTAAATAGGAAACATCACCATCAGTTTCACCTTCTGAATGTGAGGATAATTTAAAACTTGTATTTTTCAGATAATTTTGGTTTTATAAATGAACACATTTCTGTGAAGAAAGAAAGAACTCATATTCAGGCATTTGCCTGTCTGGATTATTTTAAAATAGCTTAATGTAGTAAAACACTTTATTTTCAATACCAGAGTGTTTCTGATAAGCAAGTTCCATTCCTAATGACCTAAAGTTATAATTCAGGAAAGTTTAGCTTTGATGAATTGCCCTTTTTATTATGCATTTTACCATTTTGAAGCTTTTAACTTCCATCTTGTGTTCTTTAGGATGATAATGCCCAAAATGTTTTGTATTCTTAAGTTTGGGATATACTGGGGTAGGCAAAGTTTAAACATTTTATATAGTGAGATTTTCTCTCAGTGTATTTAAAGTATGTTATCAGTCTTCAAGATTGGGGACAGTACACAGTCTTTTCATGTTTGACCACTGAAGGATTATTTTTCACTAAACATTAACAGTGGTACTGTTTGTGTATCCTTGTTTGGGAAATGTTGCATTATAAATGCATTATAAATAAAATTTGAGGAAGGACTGATTCAGTTGCTACAGCTCTATGTTCTTTCTTTAAGTGGGAACAATTTATATAGCTTATAAGAATGATTTTGTAGTGAGTGAAACAAAATGCAGTATCACGTTGATTTACCAGTACAGTACCATGGTCTAAAACTCTTATTTCCAGACATGTTTCATGTTAGAGCACACATAAGAAATGATTGTATGTGAATGGCCCCTTCTGATAAATACTCTTGCCTTAGAGCCAAGAGTATTCAGACCTTAGCACATCTGTACCACATTCTGGCATGTGTGCCTCAGTTTACCTGTTAAGTGCAGAACTTTAGTGTTGTAGTTTATTACCTTCTATCTCCAGATTATATTGCAAATATTTCTAAACCTTGTATGGTGTCTTCTGTAACATAGTATTTTTAAATGATTTTATTGTGGTTTGTGTGTTTTTACAAGAAAACCATTTTGTTTACAAAAGTAAGTAGTCGGCAGTGATGCAAAAGGACTTCTGTTTTTTTCAGAGTTACATACTGCTGCTACACTACACTTTATACAACCTCCACAAAGAGTTGTAGATTGCTAGAGAGAGATGATGTAGATCTCAGCTATTTTTCCACAATTGGGAAAGCTGGCATTTGGTACACTGACTACCATGATTCTAGTAACTGTGCTTTTAAGGGAAAGAGGATATACACTTATTAAAGTTATGGTTGATTTTGACCCTAAAATAGGTGCACTTACAGTTTTGGATATATAGGCTAGTTCTCAGGCATAGATACTAAGTAGCAGTGTAGCATATAGTGTTTATTTTCACTGCTTGAATTTGTAAGGGAAGGAAGGATTTAAGAAGACAAATAACAGTATGATTTTAAATAATGAAGTAAAAACATTTATATCTTTATCCTCATAGCATGGATTATATAAAAATCAGTTCTTTTGGCTGTTTTAGATTTTATCTGTGGGGGAATGTATAATTACATACTACACTATTAAAGTGTTACAATTTTAAAACCTAGGTATCATGAAAACTTGTAGGTGGAAAATACATGTTTACCATATAAATTTATCTTTATAATTTAGGAGCTCCAGAGGAGGTGTAACACCTTAATTACCTTGATTGAAAGAGAAAACATGGAACTAGAAGAAAAGGAGAAGGCAGAGAAAAAGAAGAGAGGACCAAAACCTTCAGTAAGTATTCATGAATATGTAAATATTTTCTTGGAAGACTTGTCTTTGTAAGAGTTTGAACATTACTTGGCTATCATTGATGTGTTAGTCTTTTTTGTAAATGCAGCCTTGAGTTGCTTTTAAAAGTATAAATTAAATTTGATTGCATCGTGTGGGGAATATCACGTTATGATGGTATTCCATAATTTGGGGATTCATGAAAATCTGGGAAGGTATGTCTTGTGAATGCCAAGAGCCTATACTTGACCTAGGGAGTGGACTGCAAGGTATAAATTAGAACATATAAAGAAATAATAGGAAAGCAGTGGCTTTACAACCTTTACTAACTTCTGAGATTTAGTTTATTGTCCCAGTGATATCTTAGCAATGTGAAAACAGGTATTTTAGGAGGAAAAAAAAAGTCATCTTTTTATTTAGTAGTAATTTAGAAAGTCATGAGTAAATGAATGGCTGAGTAATGTCTGGTATTTATGTAAAACCTCATAAAATAATTAGTACTGCTTTCTTTTGGTATGAGGGCATGTTATATTTGTTTGCTGTATTGATTTACTATTACAGATTACTTCATTGGCATTAAAATTTTTGTATTTGTAAAAGGAGTAGATAAGAACTTGGAGAATTAAGATTATTCTGGGTAAGAAAGTCTAATACTTGTTACTGTGTAGCAGTTATTAGTAAAGTAAAAGAGTCCATATATTTTACCTTTAATATTAGTCTTGTGATGAAAAGGAATCCTTCTGTTCATTTGCAGACACAGAAACGTAAAATGGATGGAGCACCTGATGGTCGAGGAAGAAAAAAGAAGCTGAAACTATGAATACATATTTGTTTCATAATCACTAACTTTAAACCAGTAGTTCTTTAATTTACGGGTCTTCATAAGATGTACTGTACAATGCTCAATTGTTAATGTCATTCAAAGACATCAGGTTCATCTGTTTACTGAGCTTAGAAACATAGTATGTAGTTTCACTTTTTTAAATGCAACAGCTGTGCTGAAATTTTTTTTTATCATTAACACTTGAAGTAATAAAACAGGCTTCATTTATTAATAAATGTTTCATTTGATTTATTTTTCTGTTATAGTTCCATTTGTGAAGATTGTGACTTTTTGTTTATCAGCTATAATTTCTACACTCAAAGCTTAAAAAACAAGCAAACAGCTAAAAAAATTGCAAATAACATTGTCCCTTTGGTCTTCACTTAGTTGTGTAATTGTTTTAATTCACTTTGCCTTTGCAGAAATTTGGGTATCTTTGTAGTGCTATATAGAGTCTCATCTGGGAAGATTATGTAAATTGCATTCTCCTTGATTATTACATGGGTAGAATGGAACAAAAGGCAAGACAAATTACCATTAAATTCTATGCATATTTCTGTTATGCTTTCTGTTTCTGTAGTTGGTTCTGAGGTGTGAATATGCCCTATTCTGTTGGAAAACTGACCTTTTAGTTGTATAGCCAAAGACATTTAGTATTTTCTGGTTCCTTAAAGTGTTACTGTACTATTTTGTAAAAGGAATATTATTTTTAATTGTTTGGTAAATGTTTTGACAAATTACCTTCTCGAAGCAGCCACAACTTAGAAAGATAATGTCAAAACTAAGGTGGTTTTTTGTTTTTTAAAAAGACCCAGCCAGAATAAAGTATGGATTTGTTATACTGTTAAATTGAAATTGGTAACAGAATGCGTGTCCCCTTCCAGTTTACCTTGAGTTTTTAGAGTAATTGAAATTTTTATATTTTAAAATAATTTCTAAGTGTGAACGGCAAGATTGAGTGTAATACCAGTTTTTATTTTCTATGAACAGACTTGATAAACTGGAGACCCTGAAGCAGGATTACCCAAATTGTAGTGTCAGGATTTTAGCTGTACCAGAGGCCTTTATGTGCTACACATAATTTGTATAAAGTTTTATATGTGCAAATTGGGTACATAAACAGTTCTCCATTTTTCTAAGGGAATGCAATAAATGTAGCATCGTGAATAAATATAACTTTTATAATCCTAAAGTGGTCTTTTCTTTCCATTTCTTTAATTTTCTTATTTGATTTTCCCCCCTTAGGACATTATCTCTTTACCTTAGATTTCTTCTAAAATTTCTGTCATTTGTCATTGTTGTCAGCCCACACATAATTGAGGTTTTTATGTATAATGCTGATTTCTAAAGTATTACTAATACTGCTTACGTTTGCAAAATGTGGAGTTGTTGCTGTGTCAAGCAAAATCAAGTGTTTATGGTAAATTGTAACTTGAGTTTCTGTTCTGCTCCCTCCAGATTGTCCTCATTTTAACCTTGGATTCTGGAAACAGTTATGGGTCTAATGTATTCAAAGTTTGAGGAAATGGTTACTTTTTCATGAAAAGTGTTATTATTATTAAGAGTAGTGGCCTAATTTTGGACAACCTACTTGGAAAACCATAAGGCTGAAGAAAACTATGGAAGTCACCAAAGAAATGTTTTCAAGAGGAAAAGAAACAGGCTAATACCATCTGGTTGGGGTGGGGCATTTGGAGTAGGAGTGGGAAAAGAGAGAGTGGGAATGTGTTAAAGGAATCAGGTATAGTGCTTAGACCTTGAGGGCTGAGGGACTAAAATAGAAACATATAAAGGGAAACAATTGAAAAAAGCATGAAAGAAAAATATCCAAATTCAGCATTTTAATTAGCCAAAGTATGAGACATTTCTTTTCCACGGGTCAATTAGGAAGTTACTGCATATTTTAGAGCCATGATTCTGATTATATTGCTAATTAAGAGAAGGAAAAATTAGCTAAAAGTAACTTTGAAAAGAGGGAAAATTGTAGAGGAGATAGACTCAAAATTGGAAATGAGTTTCTAATTGATAACCCTCAATTTTCAGTTGAAGAACTAGGTATCCAAAAATAGAATAGTGCCTAAAGGCAACCTAGAAGAGACCAGGTAGTTTACATGGGTGACCAAGGTCACAGTAATCTGTTACCCAGAATTTATATTTTTTAAATATTTATTTGTTTGACAGAGACAGGGAACACTAGCATGGGGAGTGAGAGAGGAAGCAGGCTTCCCGCTGAGCGGGGAGCCTGATGGGCTCGATCCCAGGACCCGGGGACTGTGACCTGAGCTGAAGGCAGACGCTTAATGACTGAGCCACCCACATGCCCCCAGAATATTTCATTTAATAATTAAGGTTTTATATTATTTGTTGGAAAGGTTATACTCTCTTGGGAAGATATCCAGGTAAAACTAATAAAATATAATCATTACTTTCAACTTCAATATTTTAAATAATAATCAGAACCTTGGAGAGAAGAGATAATGGAAGTTTTTCCAATGGCAAACCTTTTAAAAATTTAAGACATTTCAGGGCGCCTGGGTGGCTCAGTTGGTTACGTGTCTGCCTTCGTCTCAGGTCATGATCCCAGGGTCCTGGGATTGAGTCCCACATCGGGCTCCCAGCTCAGCCGGGAGCCTGCTTCTCTCTGCGCCTCCCCCCTGCTCACTCGCATTCTCTCTCTCTTTCTCAAATTTTAGGACATTTAAAATTTATATAGTAGACTTAAAGTGTTAGTTTTATAGCAGTGCTTGCATATGCTCATTACAGTGTTATTTACTTACGGAATCTGAACTAAACAGCCCTAATTTGGGATAGTTGCATTTATGGACCTCTAAATGTCTTTACAGGATATACTCTATGTTTAGTTAAGGGAGAATGATAAATGAGAAGTAGCAATATATTGACCAGTTTTTGGTATCTAACAACCAATTTTAGCAGTTTCAACTTTTTTCCAACTAGAATTATACTTTTTAAATATTACAAAAAGAAAATATAAAATATTTTTTAAAGATCTGCATGTCCTTAGAGTAATAGATGGGTTTAGTTCTAGTAACTTTTTTTTTTTTTTAAAGATTTTATTTGACAGAGACACAGTGAGAGAGGGAACACAAGCAGGGAGAGTGGGAGAGGGAGAAGCAGGCTCCCAGATGAGCAGGGAGGCTGACGCGGGGCTCCATCCCAGGACCCTGGGATCATGACCCAAGCTGAAGGCAGCCGCTCAACCAACTGAGCCATCCAGGCGCCCCAGTTCTAGTAACATTTCAAGGAGTATTTATAAATTCCATTTCTGAGGAGCTGCCAGCCCTTGACACCTTTGTTAGTGTTTTTGTGGGCAATTCAGTGGGCGGTCTCAAGCTGAAACAGTCTGAAGAGGTTGAATCAAGTGCAAAATGATGGGCTTGCTTTAGGCGTATGACAGTCTGTGCCCTGATTCCTAGGACCATTTTCAAGGAAGGAACAACTCTTTATAAAAATAGTGTAACCTATTTCAGTATAAAGGCAAACCTCAGAGATAATGGGGGTTCAGTTCCAGACCCCTGCAATAAGGTGAATATTGCAATAAAGTGAATATGGCAGTAAAGTGAGTCAAACGGCTATGTTGCATATAAAAGTTACATACACAGTGTAATATTGTAGTCTAAAAAAGCAATACCTTAATAATTTATTGCTAAAAATACCATCTGAGCTTTCAGCAAGTTGTAATCTTTTCACTGGTGGAGGGTCTTGCTCAATGTTGATAGCTGCTGACTGCTCAGAATGGTGGTTGCTGAACGTCGGGATGGCTGTGACAGTTTCTTAAAATAATGAAGTTTGCCACATGAAAGATTTCTTCCTCCTGTGAAGGATTTCTCTGTAGCAGGCAGTGCTGTTTGATACCATTTTACCCACATTAGAAGTGCTTTCAAAATTGGAGTCCATCTTCTCAAACTCCGCTGCTACTTTATTAACTAAGTTGATGGGATATTCCAAGTTCTTTGTCATTTCCGGAGTCTTCACAGCGTCCTTGTCCGTAGATTCCATCTCAAGAAGCCACTTTCTTTGCTCATGTAAGCAACTCCTTATTCAGTAAAGTTTTATTATGAGATTGTAGCAGCTTAGTCATAACTTCAGACCCCACTTCTAGTTCTTCCCCCTACCCCGACTGTAGTTACTTTTTCCACTGAAGTGTTGAACCTTTCAAAATCATCCAAGAGGGTTGTACTCAACTTCTTCCAAACTCCTGTTACTGTTGATACTTGACCTCTTCTCAATAATCACGAATCTTTTCAATGGTATCTAAAATGAATCCTGGGGGTTGCCTGGGTGGTTAGGCGTCTGCCTTTGGCTCAGGTCATGATCCCAGGATCCTGGGATCGAGCCCCGCATTGGGCTCCCTGCTCGGCGGGGAGCCTGCTTCTCCCTCTGCCTCTCTCTCTCTCTCTGTCTCTCATGAATAAATAAATAAAATAAAATCTTTAAAAAAAAATAAAATGAATCCTGGGGTGCCTGGGTGGCTCAGTCGGTTAAGCGTCTACCTTCAGGTCATGATTTCGGGGTCCTGGGATCGAGCCCCATGTTGGACTCCCTGCTCAAAGTGGAGTCTGCTGCTTTTCCCTCTGCCCCTCCTCACCATCTGTGTTCTTTCTAGCTCTCTCAAATAAAATCTTCAAAAAAAAAAAAAAAAAGTGAATCCTTTCAAGAAGGTTTTCAGTGTACTTTGACCAGATCCATCAGAGGAATCATTATGCCAACTATAGCCTTATGAATGTATTTCTTAAATTAAAAGACCTGAAAGTCAAAATGACTCCTGGATCCATGGGCTGCAAAATCGATGCTGTTAGCATGCATGAAAGCAATGTTCATCCATCTATCTCCATCAGAACTCTTGGGTGGACCAGATGCATTGTCAATGATCAGTAATATTTTGAAAGAACTTTTTTTCTGAGCAGGAGGTCTCAAGAGTTTGCTTAAAATACTCAGTAAACCATGTTGTAAACAGATGTGCTGTCATCCAAGCTTTGTTCTATTTATGGAGCACAGAGTACATTTAGCATAATTCTGAAGGGCCCTAGGATTTTCAGAATGGTCAATGAACATCGGTTTCAACTGAAAGTCACCAGCTGCATTAGCCCTTAACAAGAAAGCCTGGAGAGAAATGGGGAACAACTAGTTAGGGAAGCAGTGAAAACACACATAACATTTATCCATTAATTTTGCCCTCTTACATGGACATGATTCATGGACCCCAAAACAAAGTAAT